ATTGGGAGGCAGAACAGCTAGATAGGCAAAAGAATAGTACGATAATTTATCTTATTTATATGAAAAGGAACTTAAACTAACTACCCTGAATCTAAACAAATATTCCTGTCACACTTTTTGTCTCATTCAGATGGAGTTTGGACAGTAAAACTTAGCTAGTATATCTTTGCAGTTTTCACCAAATTCAAATGTACGGATTTGGGGGAAGTACCCAGAAAGTTCCACAAAGTTTGCTTGAAGGATTTGGAAAAGCTGGAAAAGCTGGAAAAGCTACCGATGCATAATTTTACTTATTATAACATTTTCTTAATTTTTTTTCCTTACCAGATGATCATTAATAGAACATGATAGATCAAAGCCCGACCCTCATTCGAGTAAATACTCAAGGTACATCTAAATGGACATTAAATACACACTGCGGGCAATATGTCTGGCTTTGAAATTCTCAAATGCAAGTCTTAAATTTTTGAGCTCAATTTTTTTTAAAGACTGATAACAAGCATGACAGGCATTTTTTTAACATTTGGAAATACTCATGTTAACATGAACATATCTGGCTGTCAATGAACACATATTTGTCGATACAGCGCTGGAGACAGTGGTGGAAGGCGCGTGCTGATCAGACGTCCGTTTGCAACTCTTAATGTGTTGTTCCAAAACGATCAAGGAGGTGTGCAATGACATCAGGGGTAATCCTGCATTCTTTCAGAAGCTTTCGGCCACAGTATGCACCTTCTGCCACCATCTCCAGTGCTGAAAGTGGCAGATTCTGAAAGTGGTTTTTTTGTGCTGTGGCATTTAAATCTCACCCTGTTGCACAAAGCTAAAGAAACTCGCTCCATAAAATTTGTCATGCCTTGTTTACATGATCTGAAATTTTGGTATAATTCCATTGGTAAACAACAGAGTTATTTAGGATCAAAAGTAGGACATTTTTTTTGACACATAAAGTATACATGTAGTATGACAACAGCAAAACTGGATGCTAGGCAAAATTCATCAAATTTCAAAGTCCATCAAAATGTAATCAAACCAGGCAAGCAGGACCGTGGATTTTGATGGAGTTGGTAAGGTTAGGGCTAAACTCAAAATTAAAAGATAAAATACTCTTCCTTTTCCATTGTTCTCCCTTTTTTGGAGTTGGCTGGAGCTCGGGATAGGGGATAGGTGTTGGCGCACTTTCTCAGACAAAAAATTTGCTCCCTGAGAATTGTACATAATATTAACCCAATAGCATGATTCACTAGGAACCATACCCATCCTGGCAAATTCCAATACCATTATGGGAACTGCACACACATATTTCTGACTTTGTTTCTGGAGGTGTGCCAACCCAATGTAAAAGACTGTCAGTTTAGGGGTACTGTACCCATCCAGACAGATTCCAACAAAACATGCTGTTGGGGTTTGATGGGTTGAGTTCTGTTAGGGTTAACTTTACAGCAAGTACAATACACTGCATTTGCTGAGGAGAACCTAGCCTGCTTCACAATGTTTTGATCATGAACTTCTGAACCTTTAAGGCTTCGGGAAAAATTACCCTTTTGAAGACACCACGTCTATGTTTGCCTTGTTTTTTTATATTCCAACAAATGCAGGAAGCTTTTTTTTTTTCCCCCGGCTGAACTGAAATTGTTGTCCTTGAGTCAATACGTGCCACCTATCCAAAGTCCAAAAATTTCCGTGACGAGGACCAATTTTTTTGTTGACCCAAAATTGTCAACCCCTAATCATGTGCGTACTTGAACTGAAAAACAGCTCTCCGTAGTACAAACCCTCGTAGAGAGGTACAACTTACATTATGGGGACATTCTGAAGAAAATAATGTCTCAAGTGCTGCGGGAAAAGGACGGGAGAGAGAGGGGAAAATCCCAACTCTGTAAAAAATGTGGGTGTAGATAATATTGCGGGCAAAGGGCAAGGCAGTGTCTATTTAAAGAGGTTGTGGAATGCTCGAAGACATTGCCATCATTTTTTGGGTATATGTAGCCTAAGGTGTGGTGAAATAAACAACTATTGTGTCTGTCATGAAATGAGTACAAAAGGTACTTTTGAGAGCTGTTTTTCAGGTCCTGTTTCGACCTGAACGTGCAATTTGTGTAAAAGTTGTCGTTGGGGGCAGCAAACAAAACATAGTAAATCGTGACGTAATAAACAGGACTTGTTTATACTACGCTGCATTGAGAGTCCCGTTTATTACGTCACGATTTACTATGTTTTGTTTGCTGCCCCCAACGACGACTTTTACACAAATTGCACGTTCGGGTCGAAACAGGACTTGAAAAACAGCTCTCAAAAGTACCTTTTGTACTCATTTCATGACAGACCTAAATGTCTTCGAGCATTCCACAACCTCTTTAACTGATTACGCACAGAGGGAAAAAGCAAATGTTGCGATTCATAGTCTTGATTCTACTTTGCTTTTAAGGGTGAACACGTCTTCTTTGGTAGATGTTGAAATGCCCGGTTTAAAACTGACAACACAAACTGAACCATTGTTGACAAAACCCAAACTGCCATATATAATTTTCTATTTAAACTCTTTCATTGGTAATAAATACAAATGCTAGTTTGCTAGTTGGTCCCATCCCTTCAGGATTCTTGATATCTTGGTTACACTGTACAAATTCTAGTGATTATGTCAATAATAAAAAAAATGTCAATAATAAAAAAACGTTTGAATGATTATTGGCAGAAGTAAATAATTGGGAAGTTATGCTGTTTTATTTGAATTTAATAAAGTCACTTGTTCAAACATTTCTGTCTTACTTTTTTCACTTGTATAATACACTTTAAATATGGAGGTACACAGTGTTCATCAGTAGTTTAATACAGCTAATTCAGTATGAAATAATCTTTTGTCATCCAATCATTATTTGCTTACAAGCTCTCGCTTCCCCATTTGGCACAGGCCCACACCTCAGCAAATATTTTATGTGTGTTAATTTTTGTTTACCGGCTGGAAAAATTACACAAAACAATTCAAACATCACCAACACAAAGTCAAGGTGGTGTGCGTCAAAGTCCATCAACCAAAATAGAACGGCGGAGGGGAAAATTAAGTTTAACAAACAGACACGGGTCAAAGTCAAACTGCTTCCATCACATGATGGAAGCAAAATAAGTGGCAGGTAAAAGGGCGCCTTCGTTTGTTCAAGTGAATGACATAATGAGAAGAAACTGTAGCTTTTTAACCCTAAAAGGGCCGGGGGGGGGGGGGGGGACTCAAGTTTTTCCACGATAGCGTTGAACATTTTCGCGACCCGAGCTGTTATGACTTTTTAGCCACGAGCCTTGCGCATCTTTTGGTACCCAAAACATAAAAATTGGACCACGGGTTGCCGCATAGCGAAAAATTTTCTAACACTACGTGCCGTGAAAACTGAATTTTCCCAAATACGTGGTGTGCACAGAGCAGAATTGCCATTCGTACATATGAATAATTAATTAGCCATAATTCCAAAACCCTTTGACCTATACATGTAGTCATTGAATTTCTTGGGTATGTTCATGAAGAGTTGCTCTATGCATGTACCGAGTTTCAAAATTTTTCGTCGCTCGATGCCCGAGATCTTGGGCAGAATCCCCCCCCCCCCCCGGCTGAGAGATGGTCAAAATAACCCAGCCCTTTTAGGGTTAAAGGCAACATCAAGGTTATTGATTAAGTGCAAAACTCACATTTGGCATGATGCAGAGGCACAGCAGATAGAGTGGAGTTTAAAGTTGCATACCCCGTGCTCTTAAAATACTTTGACTATTTTTCTCCTAACAAATTTTGATTTGTAAGTTTTGTTTTGACAAAAAAAAATTACTTTATTCCGATTTTGGGCGTCTGCAATGCGCTGAAAAAAAAGGGTTTTCATTTTATGCACAAATGAACCCGCCTTGTGGGAGCCGTATCATTGTCTGGTAGGTAATAACTCAAATTTTTTGAGGAAATAATTCAATATAAACTTAACACCGGTGAATTTATTTGTTCAATGTCTCATTCAAAAGTGAATAACTTTTAGACTGCAAGGATAATAGCACTTGAAAAAACAAATCTACTTTTCGAGAGGGAAACTCGAAAATAGCACGGGGAACTTAACTTTGAAGGAAACTGATCATTTTGGGGATATCAATTGATTATTTGAAATGTTTCAAAGTTTTATTTAGAAAACACAAAAAAAACACCATACGTTAATTTTTGTTTTTGGTGGGTATTGGTGCCACATTGTCACATGTCCTCCAACCTTTGACCTTTTCTGTATTTAATGTTCCAGTTTCTGTGCTTTTTCAAGTTTGCACAGCACTACAGAGTTGTTATCATAAGTGCAGCATGAAACTTTACGCAATGACGTAACTCCACTTGCCCCGTAATTTATTGCATCAGTTGCACAACATTCAACGCTGCGCAACATTTCAGTTATGACACACGATAGTTTCATAGTGCGAAAGTCAGCGACTTGCGCAACAAATAATGGCGTAACTTGCGCAATCATTTTTGATGACATAAGTTGTGGCGTAGCAACTGAAAATGAACTATTTTACCCAGCAAATCGTGATCCTCCCGGAGCCTGTACTTGCACAACTTATCAAGGTTATACAAGACACTCACAGCTTTGTTTGAGGCACAAGATTGCTATTTCACTCGTGACAGAATTGTCAGAGTTGCCACAAGATTCTGAAGAAAGTAGAACAAAACTGTTTTCATATGGCAGGCGGAGGTGATTCGACGGCTGTTTCGTGACCGAACAAAATCATACACAAACAGCTGTCAAAAACGCTGTTATTATCCTCGTCCAAGATATTTAAATTGTTTAAAACATTGCGCAGTTACGGCAAGTTTCGTGGAATCGATCGTAAGTTTATTGCGCAGCTGCGCAACAAATTTGTGGGGTAAGTCCTACGCATGCCGTAACTTGCGCACTGTTTCGTGAAATTGGCTGCAGGATTGTACGGACAGCACAACAATAAAGTGGGTCCTGGACGTTATGTATTTACCATAGTATTCTACATACCTGAGTCTCTATCACTGTACTCTGAGAGGTGCATCTGGGCCAGGCTGCGTCGGTCACTCGTCACGATGTCTAGGAGTCCTGTTCCCCGACTGGTCTCTTCACTGTCCAATCATGCCAATCAGATTAGAAAACGGAGATGTAGTCAAGTACATCACAATTCCATCACAAGTCCAGTCACAAATTCAGTCACAAGTCCAGTCTCAAGAAACAGTGGATGCCTTTGTCAAAGCTCATTTGAACAGCTTGTGTTTTGAAGTTGGACTGGAGGACTTGTGATGGACTTGCAGGGACTTGTGATGGACTCGACTACATCCCTTTTAGAAAACTTCCATCTTGAAGTCGAGGTTTGTGATGACTTGGGATGGATCACAAGTCATCATAAGCCGATCACAAGTCATCACAAGCCCATCACAAGTCATCACAAGCCCATCACAAGCCCATCACAAGTCATCACAAGCCCATCACAAGTCAACACAAGCCCATTACAAGTCATCACAAGCCCATCACAAGTCAACTCTCAGGCTATTTATATGAACTGTGACAAAAGTCTTCGTGTGTTATTTTTCATCCCCTGTTATGTGTGACCGGAGTGGACACTGCTTTGTGTTTCCCTTTGTCCCTACAATAATGTAACACACTCAGGATCGAGGACAGTTTTCAACAAAAGATGAACGCTCAAGGACAACAAAGAATCTGTTGTTCTCCCTTTGTCTGTCTGTCCTTGGGGTTCATGCACATACGTCACAAATTACGCATGACTAATTTTTATTATAAACGTGCACAAACCCATTGCCTCTTCGCGTGAGCATCAGGCGCCGACGGTATTGCATTTCAATGTCCCTCCCAGTGGTGTCCCCCAACTCTCCCTTGGCAAACACTGAGGGGTACTTGTGCCCGGAGTTCATGGCAGGAAGGGCACACCTATTTGAATGTGCACAATCCCAGAGTGTCTTCACGTGAGCACCAGTCATTTTTTCCAATGCGTTGGAATGTCCCTCCCAGTAGCCTCCCCAACCCCCCTTTTTAAACCGTTGAGGGGGTTACATATCGACAATGTTTTCAAGAAGTGACAAAACCTGCAAAATCAATAATTTTAAGATTTTGAGCTTTGCTGTCCAACTTATTGCACTTGACACAAAGAAGAATTTGACCAAGTTTCAAAGCTAAATATTGTTTACTTTTGTAAGTATCGTAAACAAACATTTGACAAAAAGCCTGAAATCCGTGTTTTTCTGTTTTCATGAAGTGACAAAAACTTACCTCGTTAGCAGGGCCAGAGGGATAATGCATTTCTCTACACACGCGTTAGGATGGGAGTGGACTCGCGCACTGCGAACGATGTCGATAAAGAACAGACGCGCGCGCGCTGCAGTGACGTAAGACGCGCAAATATAACAATTTCTAAGAACGATTAATTTTTTTCACGAACTGACGAAGAGTGTGTACAAAGTAATGGGACAAATTCTAGATGCCTCTGCGTTTTGATATTTTCATGAAGTGAAGAATATCTTTATAAAGAATATCTTTATGAATGAATTACTGTTTATTAAGAGAGACTTCTAACAAACAAATTTGAATTAGCAAAGAACAAAGTATACGTTACTTGACAATGCAAACATTTCCCAAATCTATAACTACAAACGAGTCGAAAATGTGTTTTGAAAAAAGGATCAACTCCAAATGCGATTATCTCGGAATAACCTTTTTGCAGGATATTGAGGTTTTTGTCACTTTGTGAAAACACCGTTGATATGCACAGAATCAGTAAGCTTCTTACCTCTGCATAGCATCATAGGTCTCCTTCCACGTAGACAGCATCTGTTTGCATGTCATCAATGCTTCCTCTGGACCCGACTGTATCTCCTCTAGCTTGACTTTAGTGAACATCAGACTGTGGGGATGAATACACGGTTTGGGCAAGGTAAATCGAGGTTGCCAGCACTTTATGTAAACAAAATATCATGAGTTTTACTCAGATTTTCCTAAGAAATTCCCAAAATTCCATGAGAAATATTGGGAAGTCAAGAGGTGGTTGCAGCAAAGCAACTAAGATACTGATAACATTCACACGGCATAAACACTAAAAAGCCACTATAGCCAGTCAGTAATGAACACAACTTGGACACATGGCACAATACACGTACATACGCCAAACCGGCAAAACCTTTCCCTTCTGGGTCACTGATGTGTAACTTGATGAAATTTTGCTGAACATGTATAAGGTACAATTTTAGGCAGATAGTTCCATCGGCATTGCCTCAGGAACTTCCATTACCTCAGGAGCTAGTATACAAATAAAACATGGTTTGAGGGTGGATAGTCGATATTAGCTCCCCGAGGTATTGGAAGTTGACGGACTATTTGCCTTGCGAACTAGTCTGTCAACTTCCAATACTGAGGAGAGCTAATATCGACTATCCACCCGAACTAAATCATATTTTATTTGTGTTACTATACCTCAAACACATTCACAAACAGTTCATGAAGTTACAAAGTAGCTGCTGCATGCTGCTAGGGCGATGTTCGTGCGTGCGCACTACCCCCGGTGCTAGTTCCACGATTGCTACGTAAAGCGCATGTGATACTTTGCTAACCAGTGCGATAGTCTTCTACGCATCGCGTGCACCTTGGTAAACAGCAAAACTAGTGGCTGACACGTGATGGTGAATGAACCAGTGAGAACTTGGCTCTCGATCATGAATATGTATGAGGTATAGTAATATCGACTATCCACCATGTCATCTCTGTATACCAGTGAACTCATAAAATCTCTCAGTGCATAGCCAATGGAGACTGTTCATGAATATGTGGATAGCATTCCAGCTTTTTCTCTGATCTCTGATCTATCTGCTTACCTGATACTATCTGGGTACTGGTTGCAGGCTACTTCTATCAAACCCAGGGCCTCCCCGTACTGCTTCTGGGCCGATAGCAACAAGGCCAGGAGGTGTAGAGAGGGGATGTGTTCGCCGTTCAGTCTCAGAGACTCGCGGACCTTCAAGAGAGCCTCTGGAATCTGAATTGTTAAAAGAATCAAACAGAATTTGGTATTTTCTTTTACGAAAATGCTGTTTTAGAAGTATCTTTACAGTGTCGTAGTGGAGTTATTTGCTGTTGTTCTTAACGAAGTTTTGATTGTTGACGACCTTTTTGTTGGTATTGTCAATGAGACTGCAAACGGATAAATTTGGCTCACATTCAGTTATGGAATCATCACTTTACAAATTTCAAGTTATTTGCAGCCCAACAATAATTCAGTCCCCTAGGGTAGAGACTGGTTCCTAACCCCCTATCAGTATCGATGATGTTTAGGGACAGGAACAGGGTGGACCTGTTTGTGGGCAAAGGCAACCCCAGAAGAAATCCCTTTTTTTCAGAGGGTTGCAGACGTTAAATTGAAACACTGCAATTTCCAAGGTCTGCATCGTGACTTTGGGCGTGATCCCTGGCTGCATGGCATATACAGGTTTATGGCTTCTGACTAACGCCCCTTGAACAAAGACATTGACAAATTTGGGAACCGCCAACATACATGAAATAGGGCTAGATAGCTCAGCTGGTAGAGCACTGGAAAGGTAATCCGGAGGTTAGAGGTTGAAACCCCACTCTAGTCAATTTCTTTGTTCAACTTTAAAACAAATTTAAACACTCAAGTTGTAAATTCATCAGGAGAAAAATAAAGATTGAATCCCTTGAAAAACATGGACAGCACAACTTCAATGTTTCGTTAGTTATGCTGTTACCTGTCTGGATATTGCCAGCAGCAACGCGATGTGATACAGGACCAGGAAGTCACCACTGTCCAGGGAGTGGGATTTCTCCAGGGCCTTCAGGGCCTTCTTCTGCAGTTCCTGCCTCTCTGTGTGGATGGAGGCTAGTATGAAGAATATAAAAGTCATGAAATGTAGACATGGAAGCTCATGGAACTTAATCCAGAAGCTTGAACCTTAAAGGTCTTGTACACCTTCATAACGTGAGGCCTGGCCTACGGTCCTCGGCTCTCACACTCCTTGTACCCACATCCCGCCTCGCCAGCTATGGAGGCAGAGCCTTCTCTCATATTGCACCCCGTCTATGGAATTCACTACCACTTGACCTCAGAACACAGAATAATCAGTCATCCTTCAAACGACAGCTCAAGATTCATCTCTTCAACCGGGCATTTTGACTCCTGGACTGACTTTCACTTTGCAACGACCAGCGCTCCTGAATGGCATTTGATGTCAGATACTGTGCACTATATGAGTGCTGTTTATTGTTTATTATTATTATTTATTTCTGCTGCTGTGCTCTGGCTCGCTGCTGTGCGTCATTGGATTTATGGTTAAAATGATGCCAAGGGTGATACCATAACACCTTCATTGAGACCGCTCAATTATTTAAATGCAAATTATAATTTATCCTAACTACCTTAGCAATTTTTAGGGGAGCCTTACTGATTCCCCCAAATCCTTCAATGTGCTTGAAACCCAGAGCAAATTGTACTTATTTCAGGCTTTGAAGCAGACCCAAGTGAAAAAAGTAGCAGAACAATAGGATAAAAAAAAACAGGACAAAACTTGTACTTTGGAGGACAAAATCAGTATAAAAGTAGGACTTTTGCAGGCTTTCAGGAATAGTTTTTGTTGATACTCACCCATGTCCACAGCATCATAAGCCTCATTTGGCATGTTCTGTACTCACAACAATTATGCTCCATCCTCAACTAAGCTCTTGGAAGTACAGTTGCAGTACTCCTGCGCCCAAGCCCTTCATTGTGTGATTTACATATGACAGTGTGTAACACTGTTATGAAACATTTAATGAGATTTCATTTTTCGGAGTTGTGGCACAAAAAAGTAGGAAAAAGTAGAAATTTCACTGAAAAAAGTAGGAATTTCAAGAAAAAAGTAGGTAAAGTAGGAGCAAAAAAATCAGAAAAGGTAGGAAGAGTAGAATACTCAAAAGCCTGTTATACTTTCATGACCCACGTAAATTAACGGGGTTCTTCTTTACTCAATCCTGCAAAGTGATCCAAAACCTCCTGGTTGAATGGAGTATTGGGGTTATGATTTAGGTGGGTTGGACCTACTTTCGTTAGCCTTGAGCGTGTAGCCAACACCCAGCCAGCGATAGCTCTTGGCAGCAAATGGGCCTCTATCTCCCAGCGCCACAGCCTTTTCAGCAAACTCTATGCCTTCGTTGATCTGAAGCCAAAAACAGAGAAGAAAGAAATTTATGAAATGATACTAATGACAGTATAATCACAAGAGGCAAGTATTTTCAAAAATTTTCAAAATGACACATAAACTCACAATTGTCATGTTCCCACAATTCCTCACATTCATTCACCAACTGAAGTAAGACACCTGCATTCCCTGCTTATTTTTGATCTGACATATGACTGACTCGTTCAGGACTTGATTGTGACACTCAAAAATAAAAAACATCAGATAATGGGTCAATGGATATTAACTATATCCATATACCCATAAATCTGACTGGTTTTCCATATACTGCATGCGTAATAGCGATCGTTCGGTATAGCGATTTTAAGCTGCCGGTACTCCGATACTCACTTTTCAATAAATAGCGCCCTTTAGAACTTCACACTGTACGCCCTGGTAGTTACTGAAAGACGACTTTGAACACATGCCGACTTTTGAATAATGAAATTACACAGTTTATGAGCTTACTACCTACAGCTTTGCTACCGTACCTACAACTTTGGGTGGCTTTGCCCTTCTATTCCTTGGGGATTTAATAGCCACTTGTCGCTATTATGTTGACATTTTTCAACAACAGTGTTCGATACGTTTTGTACACAAAAATCAGGAGCCAAGCACGATGTCCGAAATAGTCGAATGTTCAGTATAGCCAAATTTTTGGTGTAACCGAATGTTTGGTATAGGCGAATGTTCGGTATAGCGGTGTTCGGTATACCTGTAGCAACGTTCCAGTGTATGTGCTGAAGATCTCAGAAAACTTTTCCTTACCATGTTGAGTTTCTCCAAACATATCTTGGCGGCCTGTAGCAACACTAGCTCATTCTTTGGTTGCATCGTGGCACACTCTCGCAGCACCAACAAGGCCCTTGTGTACTACATAAATTAAAAACACAATGCCAACCAAATATTTAGCACAAGGGATGAGATTTGAATTATTTCATTCAAAATGAAATCTATTTGATCTGATTTTTGCCATGGATGGGATTACTTGTGACCCCGGAAAGATGTCACAAATCCTGGATGTTGATTGGTCAACTGTAGGGAGATGTTAACCAATCACACAAAGTGAACCACCTACATGTTGGTTTATGACTGTTGTATCAGCTACGTTCACAAGTACCCCCTCACCGGCAAAGAAAGTATAGTTGGGGGTGACCGACCGATGCCATCTTGCCTGACTGCAATTTTGCCGCGACGCGCGGCCATAACACTGCGTGTACATAGTACAAATCCCCTGGTGTAAGTGCGTCAAACACAAGGAACAGTGCGCGTCAAAGCAATCCCCATAACAATATTCTTTTAGTGGAGAACACTTTGGAAAAGTATTGTGAAAGACTACAGACTTGATGACAAATAATAACTATATCGAAGGAAATCCGAGTACCATTATTACATTACCACCTGTATTTGTCTCATGCCGAAACCACAGGTTTGTGCAGATAACAATTGAAAATTGGTCATCTGCGCATGTATTGTCCTACGATGGACCTTGCAAGATCGCAGTGCCATCCACAGTTCTTGCATGGAGCCACAAGTCAATCTCCCATTAATTTGTCTATCAGTCTTACCCTGCCAGCACTGATGAGCGCCAGTGCAAACTGGTACCACATGTGGAACTCCTGGTAGGAAAACTTCATGGTCCCATCCAAAAGCTGAAAATAAATACAGAATAATCTGCCGTCTTGAAAATGATAATGAACTGGCATCAGCACTCGGATACTCCAAGTGATGGCATGGATGTAACAATGTCCACATGAATGTGGATAAAAAATAAATAAATACATAAATAAATAAATGTCTGAGCCATTTGATTACAAAAATCTGGTTTACCGGTATACCATTATGATATCAAGAGTATTAGGCTACGTTCGTTTATCTCACCCGGGTCCACACGGGTCAGCCCCGTGCCGTTCGATTAGCTCTGACGTCATTCTTGGGGCTCACCCGGGTCAGCCACCACAGACCCTGCTTGTGGAGCGGGGTCAGTGGTGGAAATATGTCACACGCATGCGTTGTTCATTCGAAGAAACAGACAAATATGGCGGCCAGACAGCGGAAATCTCAAGTGGACTTAAAAGTTGACTTTATTGGAAGTCTAAAGGTAATCATTTATTGAGTTCATTGCAACTTTTGAGGCTATAATTTCAGCCCAACCTATTTGAGTTTTGAAATTGACTAAAAAGCAGTAAATCTCAAACTAAGACCCAGTCCGAAACGGGCGTTTTGTCAGTGGCTACGGCCACGGCTAAGGGCATCACGTGAGGATCGTGATGGCCCGCGGTTGAGCGTTCGACTAGCCTGGCTGTCGTGGCTGACCCATCTGCTTTTACCCGTGTCGACCCAAGTGAGCTAAACGAATGCACCCAATGTTAATCACGTTGATAGAGATTTCATCATGTCAAATAAAAACTCAGAAAGATACTTATTTTGTTTGAAAACTAGGATCACAGATGTGCCGATTTTAACGTCTTTAAGTCCACCACCGACAGACTTAGATTGTACTCTATTCCCACTTTCCTTTTAACGTCTAATTAAATTAACTTTAAGTTTGATGTTCCTTGATTTGTAAGAATTTTTGTATTTTCACTACTTTGTTTGATTTACTTGGGGCAAATGCAAAGATGGCAGCCCCAAGAACCATTTTATGCGGGAACATTAAGTTTCGATTTATAGTAATATTATTTCAACCTTTTTGCAAATGAGGCCTCAATGACATTTTCAACTTGTTAAATTACTATTTTACATTTTCTGTTTGATTTTAAGTCTGAACATTGTTTCATTTTATTTCTGATTTACATGTATTAACCTTGTTATGTGAAGACAAGTAGAATAATTAATCATCTTGCAGCAATTGAAGACATGTATTTTGTCTTCGTCTTGTAGGAATTGAATTAATCTTAAAACTTCATGTGTTTTACTGAATTTATCTTGAAATCTGCAATCTTGAAATTTTCTTCATATTACATCTTCAAATCAGCTTGAATTCTGTAGAGATTTTCTGAGTTTCCGCTTTCTCTAAAATATTGAGGCTTCTTTAGTTCAGGAGGTTTCAAGATTTCAAGAGAACTCAGGAAGACTGTTCTGGTCTCAGGAAAATACAAGATGATTCAGGCAAATTTCAGGATATAAAATTTACAAGATTTCAAGATTTGGCAGGTTGGAAAATGTCAAAATATTAGAAAACATACTCGAAAATTTCAAGGTTTCAAGAGGACTCAGGAAAACACAGGAAGTTTCAAGATTTCAAGAGGACTCAGGTAAATTTCAGGATATAAAATTTACAAGATTTCAAGAAATGTATTTTGTCTTCGTCTTGCAGGAACTGAATTAATCGCTAACGGAAGCCAATTTGCCATTTCCTTAATATTGCCTGTTTAAACGACTCATCACATTAGCATATTTTATATCAAATATTTTTATATGAGGCGAATCACTGAGTGTTTTTTCCTCATTGTTACACCATGAGAAATGAAGTAAATATCAATGTACATGTATGTAAATGCTAATGTTAATGTTTGGGTACTGTTGCATGACCTGGTGTATTCCCTTACGGAAAAGTAAGCTTGTCGCAAGCTGTATTAAGCAGTTAACTGGATTGCGAAGCTTGCCGCAAGCTTGCCTGAGGTTGCGCGTTTGCACGCAATCTAGCTGCAAGCAACTTACAACCTTGCTAGCTTGCAGCACATGTACTTGCAAGCTTGCACATGTACTTACAAGCTTGCGGAAAATTGTGCATGTATTTGCAAGCTTGCACATGCTTGTTGCTATAACTGTGCGTTACTTGTACTTCGATGAACTTCACAAAGAGTTTTCTTACATCAGCAAGCATACTGTACTGGACTCTCCTAGACAGCGTGATGGCAAGCAAGTCATAGACGGCCGTAGCGTGAAGGAAAGTGTGCTCTCTACTCTGAGTGTGCTCCTTGGAGCGACTTAGAACAACATCACGGTTGACCTACATGGGAAGATAAGAAACAAGAATGTTCAGAGCAAGGCCAATTTTGTTACCGTGGTAGACGTTGGCCTTAATTCACAAAACGAATAATGTGGTTGGAAAGACTGTGGAAAACACTTTCATTTTGTGCTAGACCTCCAACGATTCCTACCAAATGCTATGCACATTCATAATTGAAAGAATATTGAGAAAAAAAACCCAGGAGTGCAGGCGAGTGGCCTTTAAAGGTAGAATACATCATTTGTGCATTATGTTTGTTTAAAGCAACAAAAGTGCTCAAAATCTAAAGAAGGGTGCTGAACAACTAACCTGATGAAGTTTCAGCTCAGTGAAGGCTGTATATTCAGAGAAAAGCAATATTCTAGGATCTCGATTTCAAATCAAAAGTTGCTGGGTCATGTTTTGAATTGCGACCGAATTCAGTGTCAGGGACACGTTCTCATTCAGCCAATTGCAGCTACACGATGTCGTGCACTGAACTGACCACTTATAGCAACCGTGCGCACGTGTGTACGACTGTACGTCTTGTCAATGCTTGCATGGCTTCGCTGAATTAAAAAACGAACTACTAGCGGAAATTTCCAAGAATGCGTCTTTAGACGCATCGTTAGAAATTGCCTTCTTTTATTGTTTTCTTCAAACAGCTTGCCAGAAAAAATAATTTCACAGGGAGTTTAGTCCCATTACTATCTTTCAACCAAGTATGCTTTATAACAGTATTTTCATCAGGCACTTTGTGGATAGGTGCAAATGACTGACTGTAGCTTTAAAGACTCTAGTAAACAAATTCGGTGACTATCAATAGGGTTCCCACAGAAATCTAAATATGAAATTCCATGACTTTTCCAGAACATTTAGGGCTTTCCATGACCAATGGTATGGGTTGTGCAGGATTCCATGACTTTCCCATGCCTTTTTCCTTAGAATATCAACTTTCCATGACTCCTTGTAAAGTAACAAAATTCCATGACTTTTCTACGACTATCCATGATAGCATTCAATTCCAGGATTTTCCAGGATTTTTCTACCATTTTCCAGGATTTCTCTATGAATGTGAAAACCTTGTAGCATGCATAACATTTGGTAAATTCATCCCGCTGCGAATTATAAACAAGGTGGTTATTTTTTATCCCTAAACTGACTTACCTGAAGCTCACTAATCAGCAAAAGCAACAGCGCTTCTTCTTCAACATTCTTGGGCACGAACAGGCTGAAAATAACACAACAAAAAATCGTTTTCAGTTTCACAGTCCACGGAAAACCAATTTTTCATTTCTATGGTCGTTTACACCTAACTGGAACTGTTTGTAGTGATATCAATTTTGATTGGTTTATTATCTGGTGCTTGTAAATGAGTTGTGTGCAAAAGAAAATTCATGGCTTGAAACATCTTGCACGGGGAAAAGAAAACACTTTGCCTTGTGACATACAGTCAATGAGATGTTCTTGAACTTGCAACTCTTAAAATATAATTCTTCATTAAAGTTTTCTTTTCCCTCATCAAATTCCCTTGTTCCTTTTTCTATTCCATGCAAATTCCTTTTCTTCAAATAAAATTATGTCCCTTTCTATTAGTGATTTCAATAGTTCAATTTGTATTTATGTAACTTTTTTTGGTAGTTCTGTATTAGCAATTTTGCCACTGGCAGCAACTAGTACTTTTTTAAACCATTTGTTAAAAAAAAAATTTCAACAGTTCATTTTGGTCTACATTCGTGTAAAGCAATGCATGATCTTTTCACCCTTTGTGCAAGTTGTGTCAATAACCATAGACCCATGTTAATTTGTGAACAAGTAAAGTGTGCGTGCCTCTCCACATAATATACACATTAATGTATCAGTGTGAGGCAAATAACGCTATACAGAAGTATGTGCATGTAGTACTACATTTAGTATTTGGGTAGTCTGTTGAATATCTGAAACATTGGGAATGACTTCACATTGCACGTTTCATGCCATACCTCTGTGCGGTAGATTCTAACCGTGCTACAAGCAGATATCTCATACTGACTGTGCACATTCTACGCCGAAGCAGCTTAATTTTCAAGGTTAGTGTTAGTATATCAGTGCATGTACCGTACCACAATGCAACAAGCTACTGGTACAGAGAGCATAAATACGTGTTACATTCAGCAGGCCACGCACAACAAGCCTGGGTCTCTCAATCTAGCCTAGGGGAGATGCTAAGCGGGGAATTAGGCTTAGCGAATACACTATGCCAAGTCAGCTCACTTACAGAGTGCTTTTGGAGAGGAATTTGGTTTTTTTTCGGTGACGAGCAACTTAGTAATGGTGCAAATTACACGTACTTTTAGTAATGGGTGATATGGATTAGATTTTACAGAATAATTTACATTTCGTCAAGAATTTATCAAGTATTTCAGTTTGAATCAGTAACTTGTCTGTTCACGATCAAATGCATATATGCAAATGTAATTGAGTCACGGAATACAGTGACATTCACTCATGCTCTCACTAAAAACTTTGATTTTGAGAAAATCTTGAGGAACATTTTGATTGAAAATATGAAATTGTAGGCCTATATGGGTATGTTGGCAATAAGACCTTGGTGGACGTACCCAGAAGCAGTGCTGGACAGACAGGCTAGGGTGTAGGAAACTAGACAAAGATTACGGACAGGATTATTGAAGAAACACACCCGTCACCATAAAACAGTGCAATAGAAGAGGAAGGGTAACAGGACTAGAAACCACACTGCAGGTCTCAAACAGGCTGCACACATGGCGGCCATCTTGTCTAGTTCCCAGCTACAAGGAGTGTCATGTGTATCAACACACCAATGGCATCAGGCTTCTTTTCCATCCGAGCCTAAGGATGCAGCTTTGTATTAAAATTCCCATAGACACCATGCTAAATGTCCATACTTCAAAATTCTTTTAAAAATACTTAAACTCTCCCAGGTATTTAAGCTGTACAGAAAAATGATGATCAACACGTCATCTTTAATTTTCTTTTCATTTTGTGGTTGGTTGACCATTGGCTTTTTGAGAAATTCTCACCCAAAGAAGCAATCTCTATTTTTTTCCAAAGCGGAAAAGTAGCCATCTTGAAAAAACGATCCCTCCACAACATTGCAAAATAGCGCCGCTTTCGAGCCAATTGCATCCAAAATGCTCAGAATTGGAAGCCCCGAGTCCGGGCCAGAGGTTCATTGCCATGTATTGCTTCAATACCCCAATGTTATGGCTCTCAAAACTCTCTAATATAGAATATTTTGAGGATATAACTTTTATTCATGAGCTCGGCGGATGGGTTTAGGCCTATTTACCGGTGTGTACCCCTAAGGCCGTGTCTGAATTACTTGGCTACGGCTTGAAATTACACACGGGTCTATGGTAGCGGCTGCAGCCACTTCCCATAGACTCGTGTGTAATTTCAAGCCATAGCCATAGCCATAGGCTGCATCTGATTCCTTGGCTACAGTAACACAAAAGGCAAGCGGATTCAGCTGGTTCCAAAAGCCGTAGCCACGTAATTCGGACCTGGTATTACTTTGACACTCGCACTCTCATGCATGGGTATGGGATATCCAAAATGGCCGCTGTGCATTCAGAGTGTATTTACCAAGTTTGTTTCTAATTCCCAAAGTTCTTTGAGTTGTTCTTTGAGAAATTTGAAAATTGAAACAAACATCTTCATTAATTAACCTTTACTCCTTCGGCACGTTTTTGCAAACACCTTCCTAAATCCACCAACATCCACCATTTGTAAAAGAAACTTTAATGGCACATTCTTATAGAACAGCCACGACGGTCTCAAGTAAAGTAATGTTACATGAAGACTGCCTCTTCCTACGCCAAATTTTCCACCATCCTGGTGGATTTTGAAGGATTTAGAAGGGTTAGGGTTAAAAACTGATGCAAACACAGCAGACAGGCACAGATGTAGATTCAAGACTGACAGATCATTAATTGTACCATCACCAGGAATGAGATACCAGGGGGGAACTTACAGTTCATCTGGGCAGTGACTGGGACGGCTGTATATGAACATGGAGAGATTGGGTTATATAGTCTACAAGTCTACATGTACAGGCTATGCTTGGGCGACTCAAATGTGTAGAAAAACTGCAAACAAACAAATCCTAAGTGGAATTGTGACTCTCACTTCTAGTAAGTTTCCAAAGAGTTGATACCAGGCTGGGCTTGGCAAGTAGGTTTGATTCCCGCCCAGACCACATGTAGATTGGGTTTTCAGTCCCTGCCTGATTCCGTGGGTTTTCCCCAGAATACTATTCTGGGGTTTTCCTCCCACCTCTGAAACTGTAATTTCGTCTCACTGTCTCCTCTCTACAGTTTTCTACAGGCTTTCGAGCTACAGTGCCTTGAACACTTTTGAGGAATTCTTGCGTACGTTACCAAACAGAAAAAAAGAGAAATTCTGAAGATGGGTAAACTCCAATATGAGTTTGGGCAATTCTTGGAAGAAATGGACTCTACAAAGCTTAGAAATAGCATCTGACCCATATCCAAGAGTAAGCTGATGTTTTCACTGGTGAAAAAAAATCGTAATGATTTTCAGGTGATGAATAATCATGTTTCAGATTGCAATAACAATTTGCGAAATGAAAAAATATGCATGTATGTGACTCACTAGTACAGCTCACTTAAATGAGATTAATTTGGTTTTCTCCTTTTTCCCAAAAACTTGGAATCAATTCTATTGAGATAATTTGTTTATTTTATTTTAATCTTTCTGGTAATGAAACCAAGGATTACTCAAAAGTGCCCTAAGCACTGTAGCTCGAAGGCCTGAAGAAACCTGTAGAGAGAAGACAATGAGTAGAAGTTACAGTTTTAGAGGTGGGAGGAAAAACCCAGGGGAATAGTCTTAGGAAAACCCACGGAATCAGGTAGGGACTGAAAACCCAATCCACATATTGGCCTGGGCGGGATTCGAACCCGGGTTACAGCAGTGGAAGGCAAGGAAAGTACCGCTACGCCAACCTGACTCCATGATGGATCAGAACTGAATTTAAAATATTCGAGTTGCCCAAGCCTAAATTACAAGGGGTCTACATTTGATGACATGTATACAAAGGGGCTAAATGGGAACTAACTGCCCTCTACTGGGAAAGAAGGGTAATTGAACTGTTATATATGTGAGGATATTTTACCCACACAAGTTTGCTCATATTCGTTTTAGACTTTTTCTAATATAAGCTTCCCATCAAACCTTTTCCATGAGTATTTTGTTGTTGCTGGAACATTTGATATGAGAGAAACGGTAGTTGACCCTTAACGATGGCATTGCCAAAAAACATAAAGAAAAAAAGTTGGCAGAATGCACAAAATAAAACAACTTTATGTTCCAACAGTCATTATATTGCCATTTCCAGAGTGATTCAGAACTTTTTACATGTTGCTTCAAAAGGAATGTCAAAAATGTTAGTCATCCGTGGCTGCTATGAGCATGTTCTGGGGCACAAAAAATAGCTTAGCATGAAAAGTCTGCCTTGGCAAAAACAGGATTACCAACCAAATGTCCATGTGATGTATATTGCTTGTGGTTGGTATTCAGCTGTTGTTATGAAAGCTTAGCATGAAAATCAAATGGAGTTTTTGCTGGTAACCTGCTTTTATAAGCCAGACTTTTTGTGCTAAGCAAATTTTTGTGCTTAGCAGCTCCATGAAATTGGCCCCTGGCCACTTATGGTCACTAAAGATTTATCAGCACAGTGTGAAATTACTCAGAAAAACTGATAAGCCACGACCAAGCACAATCAATGTTTAGATTCGAATGCATTTACAGAATGCATTTACGTCCATTCCAAAAGTTGTTGGAGTAAACATGGTACATAGTCAGTTCAGGGGACAATTTCATGGCACTGCTAAGCACAAAAATTTGCTTAGCACAAAAAAGTCTGGCTTATAAAACCAGGTTACCGGCCAAAACACCACGTGATGTATATTGCTTGTGATTAGTATTCAGCTGTTGTTTGCTTAGCATGAAAATCACATGGAGTTTTGGCTGATAACCTGCTTTTATAAAGCCAGACTTTTTTTGTGCTAAGCAAATTTTTGTGCTGAGCAGCACCGTGAAATTGGGCCCAGATCACGTCTGATGTTCCATAGTAATTTCACTCCCTCAACTGTAGAATGTCTATTATAGATAAGATGATTCCGACCAGTTGGAAACTGGAAAAAAAATAAGTTGCTTGTTAATGATCGTTGTCTCACCTTTCCGTGGTGTACATCTTGGGCCTGAAGGAGCCTCTTGAGCTGACCGGCCTGAGAGAGGACAGAGAGGCCGAGCCTGGCCCGCGGGGCAGAGAACCCGGGGTACTAGACTTCTCTTCTTTCTCTGGTTCCTTCTCAATTGGGGGCGGCGTGTATCTGTTCTTACAGACACCTAGGCATAACATTCAGACAAATAGACTATTAACCTGGAAAACTTCAGTGCTAATTGCAATCTATTAGGCCTTGCAGAGGAAGAAAACAATGGAGGCATTTGTTCAGTTTTAGAGGCTGCAGGAAAACCAAAAATGACTTTCAAGGGGGAAAATGCTCAACTCAATATCTAACAGTGAGCAGAAACAACAAGTTTGTTTGAAAGGTTGGATTCAGCAGGGTTTCTAGAGAAAAATCCTGTAACATGGGTGAGATTGAAGGAAAATGAAAAATCAACAAAATAATCGGCAGATGTTTTAGGAGGGTACCAAAGGGCCCCAGAGCAATGTAGAGTCCATGGAATTCACGTATGTTTGAATTTGTGCAAAGGCAGTCCTTGAAATATCCATTTCTTTTTGTTCCGTTTTGAACTTTTTACAGGTAAAAACACCTTTACGGTAAATACTCAGGAATTTCAGATTTTAAAAGGCTTTCTACAAAAAAAAAATTTGATAAATCAAAAATATCCTGACAAATCCTAACCCTGTTGCAGGCATGCAACTGGGAATTTTGAAAAAACAAGGAAATTCCAAATCACACAAGACTTTGTACAGTGTTTTTCAATTTGTAATGGCATTCATGAGAAGTAAAAAAAGAGGAAATCAGTGGATCCGAGGAAAAGTTGCATGCCTGCTGTTGTAAGGCATTCAGGTTTGACAGCCAAGACTGGGAGGCTTGCAGTTATCATTACCTCTTAGCAGGACCTCAGCTAGCTCTCTGGCCATGGTGGTGCGGATACCCTGGGAAGTCCTTGCCTCAACAGCCTTCAGAATCTGACGGAACCGACCGATGCCTTGATCCAATCTCCTATTGAAAAAAACAAGATTCAGAACAAAATTCTAGAGTGCCCGTGAAGAAAACCTTTTTTAAGTGCTAAATGTAGATTTGTAAAAGGATTAACCATTCCATCTTAAAAACTTTTACAGATTTAGAAAATATTTAAACTTTAAGACAATTGAGGAAAGCAGAGCACAAATGTTTTCTTTAACAATGGAATATTAGTGCGACGGAGCAGTTTTATACGGCTGGTTGAAGACCAGTTAGAGGCCTGGCCGACGATAATAATCTGAGCCCAAGGCGTGGGCCATTATCGGCAACCAGGCCCCTAGCTGCTCAATCCCACTATTACTCCCATTCATAAATACCTTTTTGGTCAAAAACTGCAAAAAACAGAGTCGGAAAATTTAATAAAATTCCTCTGATTTCTGTTTGACAATTTCACGTTATATTGCTATCCATGTTCAGGGGCCATATCTATGAATGGAGTGTGTGTTTGCTGTTTGTTGACAGAGATACCACCAGTATATCAATAAAAAGCCTGAAACACTACTAAAAAACCTGAAACTACCCTTACCCCCTTTCAAAAATGTGTTTTCTGGATGTTTCCGAACAAATCCAGCACTTTTAATTTGTCACATTTTTAAATAAAAACCTGAATTCAGGTTAAAACCTGAAAAGTGGCATCTCTGTGTTGAAGAGAAAAAATTGGGGATTTGTAAAACATTAAAGTTCCTTTTCTTTTCAGGTAGATTCGGATAGATGCCTATCAAAAGGATTTGGGCTTAAGGGTTAATCCTGAGCTCCCCAAGGTTATCCATGCATTATCCACAAAGTTTTCGGAAAGTTTTTTGAAGATTTGGCAGCAGAGAGGAAGGCACATGTAGAGCCCAGACACTACTTTGTATCGAATTTGAATTTTTATTCCTCTATTTTGCAGCCGGTCCCGTGACACTCGGTTAAGTTGCTGCGGCGGTAGAGGTTTCTATCAGCAAGATGAATCAAATCCAGTCTTGGCAATATTGGCAGCGCTACCCGGGAAATTCCAAGCATACCTCACGCGCACTGTACCGGTATTAAAGCTAAAGTACCTCATGTGCATGCATTAGTTTGAATACAGCGCACTTGAGGTTTCCTCAGAATCTCCTGGGTAGCGCTGCCAATATTGCTAAGACTGCTTTTGATTCATCTTGTTAGATAGCGACCTCACTTGTCAAGGACCGGCTGTATAAGGGGAAAAGCATCCAAATCCAGTTATGGACCAATCTGACCCTAACCCCCTTGAGTGATTTGGGAACCTTCCTCACTCCTGCAAATTCCAACACCATATGGTAAACCCAACACCCAAACTGTTGGACTCTGATTATGGTGGTATGTCCAACTCCATGTAAAGCATAATCAGTTTACTAGTGCAGTACTCACTCCAACAGATTCCAACAAAACATGCAGTTGGATTTTGAAGGGTTAGGGATGGTAAGTGTTAACACACGGCTTGATGCTTCTTGAAAATACAATGTGACCAAGAAATATACATTTGGCTTTATGGACAACAATTTTTGGATGATTAACCCTAACTCCCTAGCATCTTTTACTGGACCAATTCCATCAAAATCCATAAATCACTGTGCGTCTAATACAAAACTGTACATGACATAATGGAATCCACTGACGCATTGGTTGACATTCGTGGACTTGCAAAATCAATTTTGCTATGCAAAATCAATTGGATACCCCTAGCACTGTTTCAGGCCATTAGGCCCAAGTCCATCATACTCCATCAATATTTAGTCACGCCAGGCCTTCTGGACCAATTAAGTTCCCCAAAATTGGAGGATGGATTGTGATGGAGTTGGGGTGGTTAGGGTTAAGCAAAGTTCCTTGCAAAAACGCCCAGGAAGTTACGCTTACAAATGAATACAATCCTGATCATGCTTACCCCTCCTGTATGTGTATGAGCGGCGCTCTCTGTACAGCTGTCTCCAGCACTGGTCCTACCAAGTTGCCGCTGCCACCGAGACTACTGGTGGAGGACAACACTGAGCCTGCTCCGCGACCTTTGTCCACCTCCTGGGTCACATGAGCATGAATATGCATGAGGGACACATTTCATGAGGTATTAAAATGCTTGATCTACAAGGAGAGTTTTTATAAGCTGCATCATTTTATAAGTAATGCATTTGTTTTCTCAGTTCTGTCCGAGAGTCTTTAAGAAATGTGCAAAATGGCTATTCACTGGAATTCTTGGTCTTACGGGGTAATCCTATCAAAAACCGACCGACAGACCAACCGACCAACCGACTGACCGGTATAAAAAGTACAAAATAGGCTGGCCCTCTCAGACCAGTACAAACACAAGCTGACCTGGGTGGGACTCGAACCACCTGCTTAATTCTACAGATGATACTAATTATTAAACTACTAAGCAGAGGGTCGTGTCTTTGAGTCCCACGTACCTAAGCAAGCTTGTGAATTTTCCTTGCACGCTCTCAGACAGCACTGAATAGTGCTTATAAAAATGCATCGGTAAAGGGTAAAAACCAATATTAATCTTACAACCAACCCTTATAGGAGAGGATGCTTAGGTGAAGAGCGCGGCCACAGTGTTGGAACAAGAGAGGGCGCTCTTTGACCACTTTCCAGAACCCAGTGGATGGGACACATCTACATGCTTACTGGTTTGCGCTTGTATAGTTTGCAGTACGCGTGACCGATTATATTCTGAAATGTGCACAAAACCCTAACCCTGCCAGACGCAACACAGTGCATCAGGTGGAAAAGTCTGTTGCACTTTGATTCATTCAACTATCAACACCAGTGCATAAAGGGCCCTGCTTCTGAGACAATGAGAACTAGTCCCATTGAACAATGCCACAGTTGTATTCTGCTGCATTCGATGACCACAGACTCTGAGGTAGTTTGGCCTTGAGACTTTTGGCCTGATGGATCTTGTTGCACTGGGCAGGCTTGTTACTTAGACAAGTGTTGCAAGTTGCTGCGTTTGGCAGGGTTTCTAGTATTTCCCACCTGTAGATACAGCAGTGCCATGTCTCCTGCCTTCTCAAAGCACAGGGCAATGTCCTCCTTCAGCTTTTGTTTCTCCACCTCATCGGTGATGGAGGAGACCTGCTTTTCCTTGCACATTCCTGACAAAGATGGGGTAAAATAGGATTCTGAGATTAGGCTTGAGGCAATTTCAATAATTCAATTAACTCCCAACATACGAATCTCCATGTGGTCATGTCAACATCTGAAGAGATTGTTTCCAAAAAGTGATAAATGCCATTTTGTTACATTTAGAATCCCACCCTCCACTGGCTGCCAAAAGTCAGTTTCAATGATTTGTATCTAGTTAAACACAAATGTAAGAAAACAATAAAGTGAAAAATGTGCAAGTAGTTGGAGAAACAGCTACTCAACTGCGTATGTTTAATACTACGTTCAAAAATGTATGTTCAAAAATTTCCAGACTGTGCAACTATTTCCCTTTTTCCCAAATATATCGCATTTTGAGAAGAAAAAATCCTCCTTTGGTGTTACGAGAAGAATATAAGCAATCACACTAGCAGTTATATTAAAGCCTAAATCAGCACAATAAGAGAATATTACAAGTATCTTGGAATGATTCAATAACAAAGGGATTCGTAAGTAAAACTTAAGCAAAACAATTTTTGGAATTTTGGGGTCTTTTCTCTTTTTATTATTGCATATCCCTTTATTTCTTGATGGTTTGAATCAAACAGATGTATTTGAATGTTTTTGATTAATCAAAGATTTGGAATCCGAATTCCAATTTGAAACACTCAAAGGGAAAATCCCTTCCATTTCAAACAGATTTTCACAAGCAACAAATACCTTGTTTTTGGAACGTAACAGCAATTCACAGTGCACTTTTTATACCCCTGCCGGATATCTCTTCTCCTTTTGCTGGCCCTTGAGGCCCAGCCTATTGACTGACTGACTGACTGACTCAGTCACGGAATAAAAATATTTCTCAATTGAGACTTCGGGTCCAGCTTAAAGGGAATATACAACATTTGCAAACATCGAAAAATAAAACTACCAAGTTTTTACGAAAAACTTTACTAGGATGTTGATAAATGACAGTGGAAAGCATCCTGTAAAATTATGGCACCTGGTGTGAAGTCATTTTAAACAAAATAGTATTTTCGTATACATTTCCAACGGTGGTCGGCCGACCACCGTTGGAAAAACCTGACTATTTTTCAACTACAGATCCAAGTTTACCATTTTTTTCAGTCCAAATTTTGTTTGCCATTGGTTAGATGTTTATGAACGGGTGCAGGTAGGCTAGACTGGTTCCCTTACCTTACAATTTTCCGCCACCTATAAATATTGGTCTATTTCATCTTGAGTGCAGTCAGGGAACCAGACTGCTTAAACATTTGTGTTTTTCTTGGTTTTTCCAGCATTTTCGAACACAACATTTCAAACAAGTTAGTGTAACAATATTTGATCTATTATACTAACCCCTCAAATAGTTCATTTCTAAAAATTACAGCAAAAGCCAATGATGTACATTCCCTTTAACTTAGCAAGTCTAGTCCTCTTTTGTATTAGACATTCCGAAAATGGGGAACCGCCAATATAGGGCTGGATAGCTCAGTTGGTAGAACATTGGAACGGCAATCCGGAGGTCACAGGGTCAAGCCCTGCCCCAGTTAATTTCTTTGTTAAACTTTCCAAACATTATATGAATTAAATTAACTGCTTTTTGATGAGTTGTACCTTTGATTGCAAATGCCTCTGCCACTGCTTTAAGTCTGGTACAGGACATGGACGACTTGGTGAATTCCTCCAGATGAATCTTATCAAAGTGCTTCAAGACATCAGCGTATTCCCCGATAGCGTACTCTAGCTTGGCAAGCAGCAACTGGGCGTCGATGCGCAGGGCATGCTGGAGAAACAAGACATAATAACAATTAGGCCTCACTGCAAAAAAAAAGGAACACACGAATGCATAAGGTATCTAGAGTAACAAAACCAGATAATTTATTGGCCCTGCTGCAAATGGAACACTGCATAATTGAACAGACCAATACATAATTTTTGGAGAAATAAGCCAAGATACGCATACAGGTTTTCCCACAAAAAAACCAACAGTCGAAACCAATTAATTAAGGTATATTGCATGTGAGTTTGGGAATATTTCCAAATGACCTATTAAACTCAGATAACCAATCTACCATACAAACTTTATTTCATTCAATTGATGCATTGGAAAAAACGCTATGCTTCGTTTAACTCAAGGGTTGAAAATCATCTTGGGCCACTTTCCTTGAAAGTGAGGAAGCTTAGTTAGAGAAACACACAAAGGATTTATTTCCTTTGTTCAAGAGTAATGTGTGACTTATTCTACCGGCATCGATCGGTAAGCTTGATAAATAAGAAAAAGTGGCCCAAGTGGTTTTTCAAGTCCCGTATTGTGATTCCTGTATCCTTTGAACAAAATATCCTAATGAAACCAACTAAAAAGCATTTGGAAGACCAATTATGCTACTCAGCAATATATTCGACACAATTTTTAATACTACCCCCACTTTTCTGAAAACATGCCTGATTCCACTGTTTTTTTATGGGACAATCTGTATAAGGCTGGGCCTTTATACATGTTATATTGAAATATAGAAGCTGCATAGGCATGCTCTGAGAATTACAGAAGTGGAAAATAGCATCCTCCGTAGAATGACCAAATCTCAAGATAATAACCAATACTGAAGATTATTTTTAACATTTGTCCCCATCGTAAAAGTGATGGTAACAACTTTACTTCAAGCTGCAAGTGCAATTTTAATTGTTGAAATTGTAACAATTTTTTTATGCTTGTTATTTTGGACTCGACTTGACAGGCTGGACTCGAACATTACAGTACATTGCAATTGAAAGTTAACCTGGCAATGGGAATTTCTCTTCACACTTTTTCTCTTCCCAGCCTCCCAGGGAATTCATCTTCATTTTACAAAAAGTGAAAAACTTTTCCCACAGTGGGAAAACATTTTCAGGCCTTTTCACACCAGTGGGAAACCATTTTCACAAAATGGGAAATGCGGGTTGGAATGCGAATACTAATTCTGTTCACAAAATTTCCCATTCCCATTGGCAGTGTTAACATTCAGTTACAATGTACTGTAGAAGTAGACAGTATAAATGCCTGACCTTGCTGCCTGATTTGGCTGCTAGATGGAGATGATGCTTAGCATTGGCCAGCTGCTTGATTGCATTCTTCTTGACGGCTGCGCTGGGAGGGTTCTGAAGCAGGTACAACTCCAACTCGCTCTCTCCTAATGCTAAATGGGAAAGGGTCTCTGCAACAAACAGACAAAACAAGATAAACTATGAGATCACCTGGGCAAATTGATGAAAATTCACCAACCAATGATGGCTGTGTGACAAACTTTATAACAGAGAAATGGACCACTATTGTACTGGGGTCTGTCAAGTCAAGGGAAATCTTTTTATGAAATTTTGAAAATTGATAGTTAGCATTTAAAATTACATGCTAAAATTATATAGGGCCTATTAAAAATTAAACCATGTCATGCCTGTGTAAAATTGTCAACGCTGATAATTAAATCCACAAATTATATAACTTAGTGAGCAAAAAAAAAAAAAAAAAAAAGGCTTGTTTTCTGATAGCTGAAGCTTGCATCCTGTGCATAAATCACATAGGTCATGTAGGTGTTCATCATTAATTTCATTTTAATTTTAATTTTAAACACGACATTTATATCCTCACTTACTTTTAGGAATTTATTACCAAAAAATAATATTTATCTACAAAGAGCAATAAGCATCACTATATAATATAAAATACACGTTATTATAAATATTTAACTAAATCGGTCTTAAGTTGCTTAATAATTCGGCAGGTTACAAATTCAACAAAATGCCAAAATAGAGAGCATTAACATTTGCAAATATCAAAAAACAAACTATCAAATTACTATGAAATACCTGACTTGAATGTAAGTGAATAATATCTCAAGCATCCTGTAAAATCATGGCACCTGGTGTGCTGTCATTTTCAGAAAAGTGGAAGTTTTGTATAAATTTCCAACGATGGTCGAATGACCATCGTTGGCAAAACTGACCTTTTTCAAATACTGCCCCCAATTTACCAAATTTAGTTAGTCCACATTCTGTTTGCAATTGGGTACACATCCATAAACAGGTTCAACCTGGTTAGTCTGGTTCCGTGCCCTGACAATTCCCTGACGTCTATAAACTGCTCCGTTTCATCTAAGTAGGGTCTGAAGTAGGGTCAGGGAACCATACTACCAGCATCTATGAACACAAAACTTTAAGCAGGTCAGTGCAGTGTAGGACAATACTTGCTATATTATTAGTTATTACTTGCTATATTACAATACTTGCTATACAGTAATAATATTAGTTATTACTTTACAATACTTGCTATAGTTATAAGTTTGTTCAGAAATGGACGAATGTGGACTACTAACCCCCAAATTCGTCCATTTCGGAACATGCTGAAAATTACAGCCAAAGTTGACATTGTTGTATTATTCTGTCAATGTCATGCCTGTAGTAGAAAATAATAAATAACAGCATGAAATGCGCGACTGTCGACACTGAACATGGAAGTGGGTGGGGCACATCTGTCATGGTCTGTCACATCAGTGGTCAACAAATGAAATTGTCAACATTGTCATTTGATTGTCATGGTATAGGCCTAGCTTGAGTTACTCCAGCTCTAATGCCTATCTAATGCGATAGGCATTAGAGCTGGAGTTACTCAAGCTGCAAGTGTAAATTCAAGTGTACTGTAAGGCCTAGGCCTGAGTTATGGACATTGCCATTGCATTGGGATGTAAAAAAAAAAGGGTTTAGACTGAGTAAAGTTTAGTTTAAACTCGATACCTAGTGCGGGTATTTTCGTCTTGGTATTCTTGATCAGCTCAGAAACCTTCTCCCAGTTACATTCAACACGATATTTCTCGATTTCGGTCTCAAGACGGGCTGCTGCCTTCTTAGAAACAGCCATTTTCGGCCAAAACTTGACTCAGTTCACGAGATTGTCGACCAGCCATGAAACAGAATTGCGCCCTCATGTGACGATTCTTGATAAGACCGGTGGTTGTAGCGCCCTCATACGTACCACGTGGGCCAATCTTTCTCTCTTTCACCGCCGCCATTTTCGCCGCATCGGTGAGTTTTTATGCTCCAAGAAAGTCTGTTCTTTTACGCAATTTACTGTATGAATTAGATAATTAAACATTTCAACATATTGTTCTTTTATCATTCTTTCGTGTAGGTGGCATCACACTGCAAACATGCAGATTTTTGTGAAGACATTGACGGGTAAAACCATCACCCTCGAGGTAAAGTGTTTGAGTTGTGACTAGACCCGTGAACGTGGCTTGTAAACTGAACGTGGCTTGTAAACTACGCCACGTTCTTATGTCATTTCGAACCTAGCGAACGTGTCCCTCTGACTCCCTCCGTTACACACACTGGACGTTATTTTGCCCATGTAATAAGTACTCACATATGAAGCTGTCTTGAATTCTATTTGTACGTCAAAACTTGCATTTGACGAAAATTGAGGAAAATTCTGGCCCCGGTTCATGAAGAAGTCCGTCCGCTACTGCTAGCTGCCATTTTCTCCCAACTGACGCATGCGCATTGCGTTTTATTTTCGTATGATTCGACGGCTGTTTACTGTCGCAGCTAAAACAGACATCGTTTTAGACAAGGGTACAACTATAGAATGCAGGGCCACTTTACTCTACATCCGCGCCTCCGTACGGCTGCGTGGAGGCGTGGAACCGCAGTCGACCTACCTCTGAAAATCGATCGTGGAGTCGTGGAGCCGCAGAAAATTGCGCCCTCTATCGGTGCGCGTCTCTGCGACTCCGCGACTCCGCGCCTCCACCACTGAGAGACAGTGCCCCGTCGCCCTCCCCCCCCTTCCTAATTTGCGCGCCCAATTAAAGCGACTCTGCGACTCCGCGCCTCCGCGACTCCAGACAGTGCCCCGTCGCCCTCCCCCCCTTCCTAATTGGCCCGCCCAATTAAAGTGACTCTGCGACTCCCCGACTCCGCGCCTCCGCGACTCCAGACAGTGCCCCGTCGCCCTCCCCCCCCTTCCTAATTGGCCCGCCCAATTAAAGTGACTCTGCGACTCCCCGACTCCGCGCCTCCGCGACTCCAGACAGTGCCCCGTCGCCCTCCCCCCCCCTTCCTAATTGGCCCGCCCATTTAAAATGGATATGGATGCTTCGTTCTCAAAAAGATTCCGCCGAGAATTGCGCCCTCTATCGGTACGCGTCTCTGCGACTCCGCGCCTCCGCCACTCCAGTGCCCCGCGTCTCCGCGATTCTGCGACTCCAAGACTCCGCGCCTCCGCCGCTCCAGACAGTGCCCCCAACACATTTACAAGCACGCCCTCCCTTCCGATCCTTCATGAGAAGCTTTGGAGACAAGTGCAGTGCATTCCTTCGCTGTACTTAGCACTTTTTTGCAGGTTTGCATATCTATTACTCCTATCCATCCACGCCTCCAGGCAAAATAAAAAACCTTGCTTCGGCGTGGCCCTGCATTCTATACATGTAGTTGCTCCTAGACAAGTTTCAAGTCCTTTCCTCTCTCACCGCACCGTACCGCACGCGGTCGCACGTGCGCCCGCGTGTGTGTGCACACACGTACATGTACTGTACACGAGATGAGCCGAGCAGCCAATCGTCTGCGGGTTTTTTTTTTCCGGGGTTGCGACATGAAACAGCCGTCAATCTGTCCAAGCGACTCAGACGCGTCCGGGGTTATTTGGGTCAGGTTAAAATCTTATTTCTACACATTCGTATGGGTCTTTACTGATGGGCAAATTTCGTCGAAATTACACAGCCGAAACAATCGGACGGGCAAATTTAGATTTCTAGGTGAGTACTCAACACCCATACGGAATTATGTATGTCGGATCGATTTCGCCAGGTTCGAAATGAAACAAGAACGTGGCGTTGTATACAACGCCACGTTCACGGGTCTAAGTTGTGACATGACACAGTGGATATTTAGCCGGATCCGGCTGTCTTTTAGTAAACGATGTTTTGCCGGATGGGCACTGAACATGCGCAGTGACTGTTTTTTTGGGACTTCAACGTTTTATTGTAACAAAAATAAGTCTGGTTCCACGCCAACATTGTCGTTGTGACTAAGTATTCACCATGTTCACGAACATGATGAAATGGGAATCAGACCATTTTATTTCAGACTTTATTTCCCTTAAAAAAATCCTCCAGAGCCGGCCATGAATCTGAAAAAGAAAATAGGTCTCTGGAGCCTCATCATAGTTCTAGGAGTAAAATAGGCCTAGGCCTAATAAAAGAAAAATATTCTCATTTCGTGGGGATGAAAAAAAAATTAAAAAATTGAAAATATTGCTAGCCGGGAGTTGAACCATGGATCTCTCAAGCCCAATAATTGTATCCCTTCAAGCAGCCCCACCCGCCAGTACTCCTAGAACTATGAGGCTCCACGTAGTGAAGCCTCATAGATTTAGAACCCCGCAAAATTGTTGTCAGCACCAGTAAAACACTAATACAAAAACGTCCATCCCAACCAAGCTTTTTCCCACAGAACCGCTGCACAGTTTGCCCCTAAACTCCGTACAATACCTCATGACATACTCACGTTATGTGCACCCAACAAACATCGGTGGATTCTGTCGGTTTTTCGGCAAAAATGATGAAAAATATGCCCTTTCCGCACTGAGCCAACCTGACACTTGAAACGTGCACATGCGCAGAATGATCGCAGTCATTTGCGGCGCGCTCCGAGCGATCGAACCCGAAAATGACTGCGATCATTCTGCGCGCGTACCAGCCCCCAATGCCTTGCGCACAATTGTGTTTTTTTCTTTCAAATTGCGATTTACGAGTCTTCTTATCTCAATGGACAACTTGTCTCAACGGATGACTTGTCTTTCCGTTTGATGCAGAGATGGTCGAGTTGTCCCACCAGTCGAGATGTCGCACTGGTGTTGAGTTGGTGAACGAGTCGAGTTGTCAGAGCCCCCTCCACACGCACAAAGAGTGTGTGGAACTAAACTAAAGCCATGGAACTAAACCAAAAAATGCTTCATTTCTGTTTCAGGTTGAGCCCAGCGACACCATCGAGAATGTCAAGGCCAAGATCCAGGACAAGGAAGGCATCCCGCCAGACCAGCAGAGGCTGATCTTCGCCGGCAAGCAGCTGGAGGACGGCCGCACCCTCTCCGACTACAACATCCAGAAGGAGTCCACGCTCCACCTGGTGCTGAGGCTGCGGGGCGGGGCCAAGAAGCGCAAGAAGAAGACCTACACCACGCCCAAGAAGATCAAGCATAAGAAGAAGAAGGTCAAGCTGGCTGTACTCAAATACTACAAAGTGAGTACTTACTCAAGGTCATATTATACAAATATTGACTGCTTCGAGTGGCGTGCTAAAATTAGGTGATCCATGGAGCGTTCTATTTTCCTGAGGCGTAGCCGAGTGAAATGGAACCCTCCATGGATCATTTTTACTATACCACGAGTTAAAGCTATAGTCCATCATTTGCAGCCATCCGAAAAGTAGCTGGCGTAATTATTGTTGAAAAACAAACTTGGTTGAACTAAACTCCCTGTGAAATTATTCCTTCTGGGAAGCTGTCATTTTGAAGTAATCAACGAAAGAAGGCATTTCCAACGGTGATTCTTAAGAAGCACCGTAGGAAAATTTAAATTAGTAGTTCGTTTTGTTATTCAGCGCAGCGCGCACAAGTATTGGAACGACGCACACGTGCGCACGGTTGTTATAATTCGTCGGATCAGTGCGCGACGCCGCGTATAGCTGCAATTCAAAACAATTCAAAACATGATTCAGTAACTTTTGATTTGAAATTGAGATCTTAGAATGCTGTTTTTCTCGGAATATACAGCTGAAGCTTAGCTGAAACTTCATCAGGTTAGTTGTTCAGTATCCTTCTTTGGATTTTGAACCCTTTTGTTGCTTCAAACGAACAAAATGCACAAATTACAGATGATGGACTATAGCTTTAAAGCAGTCAGTGTTTTTTTATAATGCCTCAACCACAGATTCTGCTTAATTTTAAGAGATAACCAAAACCAAAGAGATAACCAGATAACCAAAATCCAATAAAATTGTACATCTGTTTCGGTACGAAATTAGTTAAAATTTACTTGCACTTTTCCCAAACTACCCCTTCATGAAATGTTTGAACCCAACTCTGTAGCGCATGGGAATACACGCAAGACACACACCCGCGTGCATGTGCATACGGACCTCTGCTTGCTGCGTTGGTTTCTATGCGCATAGTACGTTTTCAGACCAAGGCAACTATTGTATTATCTTTTTCGCTGCACAGCAAGATAAAAAATAGAAAATGCCATGTGACTCACTCTTGGGCTATCAAAATACAGAATCTGTAGATGAGGTGTTATAATCACCAAAAATTCATGCTAATTTTTTTTAAAATCACCCTGAAGCAGACATTCTACAATATTCCCCATCTACCGTCTGTTGTGTGTTCAAGATTTTAATTTTAAACCCGCAACTATTCAGTCAAAAGTTATCCCAAGTTAAAACAAGCTCATAACAACTATCCCCAATCATATTTCAACAATCTCTCATATACAGTGAAAGCCAGTTCCCAATCCTCACGAATTTCAGAACATGATGAACAAAACGATCACGTATATCGCTCGTTGATGGGCCACTCCTTTGTTCCTGGTATAAGCAGATACCATCGATATAGAAAGGGATTACAGGTTTGACAATTTACTTTTTGGGAAGCACAATCCACTGTATGGGACTAATAAATGAATACACGGTCTTCTGATGAAGTAATAACAAAGTTCCAAAACATTAACCCTAACCCCCTAGGCCCTTGTTGCTTGCAACCATCCTCAATCCTCCAAAATCCTCCAAAATTTTTCAACTCCGCCTAAATTTTTCAAAATTGTCAGACAGTCCTGCCTCAAAATGCATTCATCCTCAATCCTCCAAAATCCTCCTCATCCCAAAACTTTGCACTCGTGTTTAAATGAAGGATAACCAACGCCAAAGCCTTCAAAATCATCAGACAGTCCTGCCTCAAAATGCATTCATCCTCAATCCTCCAAAATCCTCTTGTGCTTCATTCACCATTCATCCTCAATCCTCCAAAATCCTCATGTGCTTCAATCACCATTCATCCTCAATCCTCCAGAATCCTCATTTGATTCAATCACCATTCATCCTCAATCCTCTAGAATCCTCCAAAACCGCCAGGAGGATTTTGGAGGAGTGAGGTGGGTTAGGGTTATACATAAGTTCCATTTTTGTTTTTTGCATAAAACATAGAAGATTCCAGTTTTAGTTACAATTTTCCCATAGACCATAGCACACATGTTAACTGTAACATATCTGGAACTGAAAATTATCAAATCGAGATAAAAATATTGAATTTGCTGCTTTCTCAAGCTCAACCCTCATTTATCCGTTTTCCATCGAGTAAATGTCTCCATCTGCTGTTGTTTGCCTCCCCAGGTTGACGCTAACGGCAAGATCACTCGTCTGCGTCGCGAGTGCCCCAGCGAGGAGTGCGGCGCCGGTGTCTTCATGGCCTCACACTTTGACCGGCAGTACTGCGGCAAGTGCTGCTTGACTTACGTCTTCAAGGACAAATAGATCCAACTGACTACGATTCACTCCAATGTACGCATTAGACAGCCGATCAGTGCACTAATGTAAAAAACAATCCCAACTAGTATCATGAACTGGAATTGAGAATCCACTTCACATTTTCCTGTAAATGTCGTATAAAACTAAACCTCAACCCTTCAAACTACTGGATCTAGTAAATGTAATCAAATCAGTTATGCGAGATCAGTCCGTGTGTAAAATTTGTGGTTTTGGCAAGGATTGACAATAAAACTGACACAAGCTTGTGTCGAGTTATACAGAGAAGAATGGTGTGATTCGAAATCATTTCTGAGTCAACTTTACAGTAGAAATGCGCGTTGGAACTTTTAGAATGGGTAAAACCTTTTCAGCAGTGAGCAAAAACTATTATTGAGTGGCTCGGAGCGGAATGGGAGGAATATCGCAAGGTGTAAAATCTGGACTTTTCTATTGCACCAGGCGAAGCCCAGTGAACTGGAAAAGTCCAGATTTTACCGAGTGATAATATTCCTCCCATTTCAAAATTTAAAGCCACTCGATATTTGTTTTATATAACTGACATAGATCCTTGTCATTTGATTTACAGTTAAAATGAACTTCTATTTCAATACAAAATTGGTGGGAAATGTATTTCTCTCTTCCAAACCACCCCATCATGAAATGTTTGAACCCAACTCTTTAGCCAATGGCTCTTGGGAACAATACGCTCAACGCCCACACCAGCATGCATTTGCACACAAATACAGTTCCATGGGACAAGGACGATCCTTACTGTTGAATAGTAAATCCCATTCACCATGGGCGAATGGGACGTTTTGAGTCCCGGCGTGAATGGGAGCATTAAGGAATGTCATGTGATGTGAGTTTCACCAATCAAATGACGAGGATCTGTAGGTCAGTTATATAAAGTTTGACTGACTTCCCTCGAAGGAAGTATAGTTGGACCAGTGTTTCCCGTGGCTAATGAACTGAGGGAGGTGGTAACAATTCAAATTGATGATTGAAACAAAATTTACAGTCTGCAAACTGAAAAGAATGCAGCGCTCACAAAAATGCACGATGATTCCAAAATCACATCGAAATAGTGAGTTCTTGATACATGGAGGTCAAGGAAAATACTCATATAGTTATTACACAAAATGAAAATTGTTCCATCGATATTTCCTTTATTGTAAATCTTCACAGCGAGGTGGTGATATTGGCAAAAATTGAGCAAGGTGGTCACTGAAAGTAGCGAGGTGGGCTGCGTCATGTTTGAATAGGGAGGGGAAACACTGGGTTGGACTACTCCAGTTGACTATATTGGAACCAGACCACGGGGCACGATTCCATCACTGCTTACAGTTACAAACAGCCACGCGCATAACAGCGGAGAGCCAGTACCACAAAGTTTTTGTGATGTTTTGACCATCGTTTGACTAGAGGCGTTCACACATTGCTATAGACTATTATCATGTTGCGGCCATTTGAATATTTCCCATTCAAACCAACGTAACCAAAGCGAGGCTGGATGGAAAAATAGTGGGGGGGGGGGGCGCTGGGGGGGCTGGAACATTTCATGGGGGGGGGGGCGTCATGTAGGGGCGTCAATCGCTTCTCAAAAGTGTGGGGGGGGGGACATACCTTGATCAGAACTGATGGGAGCGCGAAGCCCTTACGGCGTGGGGGTTCGGGGCCCGCTTAAGGGCCCCGAAAAAAATTGGATTCTAGATGTTCTGTGGTGTGATCTGAAGCAATTTTTACCACTTTCCTCCATGCTTTAACTAATATTTTCTTAGCAAAAGATAATTATTTGAACATCGTTTTCGAGGTTGGAGTCATTGAATCAGCTACCAGAATTCTGAGCTATAGGCGTGGGGTTCGGGGCCCGCTTAAGGGCCCCGAAAAATTTTGGATTCTAAATGCTCTGTGGTGCTATCTGAGGCAATTTCTGACCACTTTAACCAATATTTTCTAAGCAAAAGATACATTGTAGTACATAATAGGGCCCTGTAAATGAGACACGAGTTCAAAAATCTGGGGGGGGGGACATTTGATATTGTGTCCCCCACCCTTCAAAAAGTGGGAGGGGGACCAGTCCCCCTGCCCCCCCCCCCCCCCCCCCCCCCAGGATTGACGCCCATGGCGTCATGTAGATCAATGATAATTTTTTTAGAAACTCAAAATCTCAGGGGGGGGGGGGCGACTGGGGGCGACAAGGTTTCATGGGGGGGGGGGCTGTCGCCCCCCACGCCCCCCCCTCCCCCGTGGCTATGCCACTGATTTCAAGGAATTTTAATTGGTCTATTATTATTATTTAGCTTATATGAATGGAGGAAAAGTTTGTGCTTGGCCGATTCGCGTGATATCGCTGACTGAAACTGTGTGACCCACGGACCACCTGTCTATAATCCGTGTTCCGTGGTGTTAGCGAGCAGTGCAGTGGGTGTTAATACGCATTTTAGATTATCATTATACGCTATGTCACGCCGGTTGTCAGCTTACTGGTCCGCGGTCGCCGGTCGAAGGGTCGTTTCTTCAGTGGTCATCAGTGGATCATTCGCGACTATTTAGATTTAGATCAATGATAATTTTTTTTAGAAACTCAAAATCTCAGTGGGGGGGGGGGGGGGGGGGGGCAACTGGGGGGGCGACAAGGTACCCCCCCCAAAAAAAATCCACTTTTAGGTTATTGAACTCTCCCAACTTGTTAATGATATTTAAAAGTAACAGGACTGTCATGGATGCAGGGCAGTGCATACGTTTATTTTAAGGGGGGGGGGGGGTTAAAATGACAAAGAAGAAAAACCAGCACGGAAATCAACTAAAATATGCATAAGAAAATCACATTTTTCTACCAAACGATACCGTTCAAAATTACAAAAAACAGGGTCATTAGAATAAAAAGAAGACTGCTTCAGGTTGCAGAGGTCATTTTGTAATGATAAAAACACTCAAAAAGGACCAAATTGAAAGAGGGGCCTGTAACTACACAACTGCTAAGAGATAAGGATTGATAATTGCAGATTTGCTCATTTTTTATAATACACAGTTCCTAAAATGCCTATCATTGTGAGGTCCCTATGTAGAACATAAAAAGTAAAAAACATTCGTGTAAACTTAATCAAAAAATGGATGCAAAGACAAACGGAAGTAAAAGGGAACCCTCAGCCTGCTCTCATTTGTCAAAAGAACAAAACCACAATGGACAAAATGAGTTCCACACCAAATTTGACTTTCAATAAATTGTTATAAATATATTCAAATTTTATTCCAAATACACACATGTACATATGTATACGATAGCAACAACTGCAAATGTTTACTTCAAATGTTTCCTTAAAAACATACAATCAGTGGCGTAACTATAGGTTTAAACTTCTAGGAGGCACCTGGGGGTTAGTTACACCACTGCATAAATTGCACACAGTGCCTTATTAGTGGAAGTGCTTATATATTTCCATTAAGGACCTAATCTCATTGGACATGAAATAATCCGACAGCAGAGGCAAATTACATGGAGTTGCAACTAAGCACAGAAATTACTGGCTTAGCAAAAAACAGGGGCTTAGCAAAAAACAGGTCACCAGCCAAAATGCCATGTGATGTCTATTGCTTGTCACTGGCTCCCAGCTTATCATTTGCAAAGCATGTGCATTTGCAATACAGAATTTTCTGTTCAACAGCTTCATAGACCTTTTCACGGATAACGCCATCTTTGAGGTCATGTGGTAATCACAGGGGCACTAACAACAGAATTTCGTCCCATCATGCACAGGTTACAATTCGCCCTTTGCACGCTCTGCCATCAGCATGCAGAGCCTCGATCTGGCAACTTTACACAATGAATATAGCCGGTTCAGTGATTCCCAGGTATACACGGGTATCACTGAACCCCGACACGGGAATCACTGAACCGGCTATATCTATTGTGTAAAGTTGCCCGATCGAGGCTCTAAATGCTTATGGCAAAAGCGTGAAAAGAGCGAATGGTATGATGGGACGTACTTCTATCAAAATGCCCCTCATATCCTAGTCTGAGTATCACCCGTTATCCACGGAGCCAAGTCCTGTATAACATCTAATATGTCTAGACATGCAGATTTATGCAAGCCGTGCGCCAGTCGGTGTTGAATAAACAAACAAACAGACATGGAATTTGATGATTTTACTATGCCTTTCACATGACGGGTATCAAGCGAATTATCTGTGCTGTGTACAGACAGGGTGGATAGTGGGTTGCGTATGACGTCAGAAGACAGCATAAACTTATGACCTATCCGGTATGCTAATTGTAACCGTTCTCAAATAATTGTTTGTTGTTGTTTGTTTGGTTTTTTTTTTTTGGGGGGGGGGAGGGGGAAGGAATGCCCGTCATCAAAACCCTAGCTGCCAGTCGATAGTTTGAGGTACATGTTTGATGTCATAGCAGATGATTGTATCTCCAGCATGTAACTCTAGCGGTTGCTGGAATCGTAGACCGCACTCCATGCCTTTCTTGACCGTGTTGACGTCGTCTTTAAGATGCTTGAGGGATGACAGCGGACCTGTAATGAGGACAAAATGAGGATAACATCAGCGTTACATGAAAAACGTGACAATAATAAACCAAACAAATGTCCATAATATGAGGTATTCATAGAAATCTGGAAACAGTTACTTTGATGCATGTTTTCTTAAGATAATCATAAAGATAAACTAGAACGGCAAAGCTGCCATGGCTTGCTGTCAAAGGCGGGAAGGGAGGCTGAAGGTAGGGTTGGGGATGGGCATGATGGAAGGGGATTAGGATGGCAATTGATATTACAAAGGCTCGCATCTGCTTCGCAGCTCGCCAACAAGCAGGTGTTTTCTACTTCTGTAAATACATGTATATCAATCAGAACATATTCCTCCAAGCGTGTCATTGATTTTCAGCAAAGGGACCATTCCGGAACATTCAGCAAAAAAAATTTGGGAGTAACAGTTTTCAATCTCTTCCAAATGTTATGAGACCTGAAGCTTTCTTGACATTTTTTTTTTCAAAAGAAAAGAACAAAATTGGTACTTTTTTTCATGTTTCTACTTTTTCATTTCTTTCATTAACCCTAACCGCCCTGAATCCTTCAAAATCCTCTTTGCCAAAGTGGATGAATTTGGAGGATTGACGTTGCATGGTAAAAGTGCATTACTGATTTTGTAGGATGCACTTTGTCAAGGTCTTGGACCGGACCTTGTGTTGTTTTTGCTCAGACATGCATAAATATAGTCCTGGATTATGCTTGAAATCCTCTGTAGGCCTACTGCTCCAGGATGTCACTGGCCAAGCCTCAACATATTGACAGTCACTGCCGCAGGATTTTGCAGGATTCAGGCGGTGGTCACCCCTCCACAACCCATATTCAAGAAATACAATGTAATGGAGAAATTTGAAGAATTGAGGCTATATGTTATTTTTCCATGAGGCCAATTGGAGGATTTTGCTTGATTGAGGCTACATCCTAGCAAAAAGGCCTAGGGAGTAAGGGTTAAAAGAAAAGAAAAATGAATTATATTTGAGTTGAAGATAATTTTAGAGAAAAACATTTTGTAGTGGCAGGTACTATCCAGTCCAAATGGAGATCAATACTTGTACCATGGTGTATGACGTCGTCGTTGCGTAGTACTTTGAACATCTTGCTGGTATGCAGTGAGCCTTGGTTCACTCTGCAGCCCCCGACGCTAACCTTGCGCTTGCCCACCGTGATCTCAAAGTTTTGGATGACTGTGGCTTCACCTGTTGAACAAGGAGATTAAAAAAGATTATTTCTATGTTGTGAATTTTAGATGATTTTTTGTTTTGCCTTTCGCCGACGTATTTTTTTCTAAACACTGTATACTCAGTGTGGTCCGAGGGCTTGCAAGAACAAATTCACAAGCTTACTCGGGTGGGACTCGAACCCACAACCTCCTGCTGACTAGTGCAGACATCTTACCACTTGGCCACCGAGCTTCCCAGGGTCGGCTGGCTGGTTCAAGTCGCAATATTGTGCAGTCAAGTTGATGCATTATGGTATGGGATGCTATCAACAAGATGAATCAAATCCAGTCTTGCGAACTTTGACACCAGGACCAGAGAAATTCCAAGGAAACCTCATGCATACACATTGGTTTGAATGTAGCATGCATAAATGAGGTATACTTGAAATTTCTAGAATTACAATCCAAATCCAGTCTTGGACCAAGACTACTGCTGTTCCTGAATGGGTTCTGTATAGACCAATTCAGAGTACAAAATTAGAAGCCATTTTTGAGGTAGAACCACTTTCGCGTGCATGCCGCATGCATTCTTAAAGACGAGGTGCGTGCATTTTGGTAACCCTATTGGTAGATGGAGCCCGAAGTGCGTGCGTACCACCTGAGCACAAACGTGTTCCACCTCAATAATGGAGTCTAATTCCAAAGAGGTGATTTTCCCTTTTAACCACGGTCTTTTTCATACCAGTATTTCATTGTTTATCTTTTACACAGCCCACTGTAACATTATCTGGTTACTCTCTCCAGACAATTTGCAAGACAGCAGGGCCGGTGGCCAGTCCATTCTCTCTGGACACACAATTTCACCACGCATACACAATGCACGTATACTTCAGGATTTTCGTTTTTTTGTGCACCAATTTCAATGATCAAAATAATAATAGATGGTTTCATTACTGGACATGAACAAATATGGCACTGCATAGTATATTTATTGAAAGAAAATGTGTGTTAAAGGGAATATACAACATTTGCAAACATCGAAAAATAAAACTACCAAGTTTTTGCGAAATACCTTAATAGGATGTTGGTAAATGACAGTCTAAAGCATCCTGTAAAATTATGGCACCTGGTATACTGTCATTTTCAAGAAAAGTGCTATTTTTGTATCAATTTCCAACGCTGATCGGCCGATCAGCGTTGGAAACAACTGGCTTTTTTTTCAAATACTGGCCCCAATTGACCATCGCACTTGTTTACAATCGATTACAAACCTATGAACGGGTACGAGCCAGCTAGACTGGTTCCCTAACCTTATAATTCACCAATGTATGTAAACTGCTCTGTTTCTTCTTATATGGAGTCAGGGAACCAGACTACAGGAAAATGATCGTTTTTCTTGGTTTTTATAGCATTTTCGAACCCAAAACCTCAAAAAAGTCAGTGTAACTATATTTGCTTTATATTTCCAACCCCCAATTCCAACCATTTCTGAAAATTACAGCAAAAGCAAATGATGTATATTCCCTTTAAAAGGATTTAGGCAAAACTAACATGTCACTCAGTCAAGTGATAGGCCTAATGATTTCCTGCTGGTTGTGGCCGTTCGCCAGTAATAAAGTCCCACAGGGGCATTAAATGTTGAGATAAGAGAGTTGTTGAGATATTTGGGTTTTCTTTTAACAGAGGGTTTCACTGCATGCGTTCGCCGAATTAGTCTATAGACTGATTCTATGTGACATGGGTGTCACAGACTGCATGAGCCTTCATGTCTTGGATCTCACAGACATAGGTCTGCATACCTTGTATATCATGTTCCTCCTTGGGTGGTAGTCGACTGCTGAGTTCATCTTTGATGTCATCCAGCATTCTATAGATGACTGAGTGCATCTTCAGTGGTACTCCTTTATCTTGGGCTAGGGCCTCAGCTTCAGGACTCGCTGCGACGTTGAATCCAATCACTATACCTACCAGGGGAACAAATCAAACTGATAACTGCACTTGTAGGATTATTATTCTACTACTTTAATTGTAAGAATACAACTACCAAAAAAACCTCAGATTTAATAAGAAACATGGTAAAACTTTATTTGGGAAATATTCAAGTAAAATAATTCCAGCTTCTATCTGGGGCATACGTAAAACTTCACACTGACTTTCAACTTCAATAAAAACTAACCTCTTTACCTTTGTGAAGGCTCTGAAAAGAACCATTACACATTTAATTCGAATGGAATTACAGGACAGCACTTCCATAATACATCATTCAAAACGTCATTCTGATATTAAAACCCTATCCGCCGATATAATGCGACATCCATTAAGATATTTTGGAGGGTTTTGCATAATTTCAGAAGCCCAGTCACTGTTCAAGTAGGTTGATGCACCTTGAACAGGGTTCCCACAGAAATCTTACAGTGAAATTCAATGTCTTTTCCGTGACTTTTCCTTGACAAATAATTAGGACTTTCCATGACAGATTCCTATGCTGTTTTGGCATCTTAGACAGCCTTCCAGTTTGACACAAGACCACTAAGCACCACAAAAGCACTGAACTGATGTATTGAACATGCAACAAATACACAACAAATACGCAATGAATACAAGGAGGAACTATAGTAAACTGAAATACAAACTGGAAGACTGTGATTTGCAAAATATATATAATGCATCGTCACGTATCGGTTGTGCAGGATCCCATGACTTTTTCACAAGTGTTTTTCTTGAAATATCAACTTTCCATGAATCCTAGTAAAATAATATTCAATGACTTTTCCCATGAATTTCTGGGCGGCTTTAAATTCCAAGATTTTCCAAGATTTATCCATGACTGGGGGAAACCTGCTTGACATCTTTACTACCAAGAATGTGCCACTGGGTTCCCCCAACAGTGGTGGACTGTGGAGGATCTAGGAATGTTCCAAACAAAAATAATCAGGTTGACTAGTCTTACCTGAGAATGTGTCCGCCAACTCCACCTCCTTGTCTGAAATCACTCCCACACCGTAGCTAAGCACATCCATCTTGCACTGCTGTTGGCAATCGTAGGTTGCTAAAGCATCCAAGATGGCCTCCACGGAGCCATCTACATCACCTGTTGCCACGGAAACCAAACAGTAAGAAGATTCATTATTTAATGACATTTTAGGGAACGCCGTCAGAGTTCAATTTCCTGAAAATGATTAAATAAAGGCAATAAATAAGTTGATCAAATTCAGCACAAAATTAAAAACTCCAAGTCCAAACTAACTGACCTGTTGCCGGCTACACGGATACGGAGTGGGAGTCAGTCCCCTAGCACTGAGAAGGTTTATTGAGGGCAATCAACCGTGACTCCGTAGCCGACTAGTGGCAGGGTATTCTGCAATTGTGCCCAAAATTCCATAGGGTTGTTTTAGGGGCGTGGCTAACTCGCAAACGGCAATAGGTCAATTATAGCCTAGAAGTCAACACAAATTTTCATTGGTGGTACACCAGAGTGTTGATTCGATCCCAGCCAGAGGGACTGTGGTGTGTATGTCCTTGGGCAAGACAGAGTTGTTATCTAGTCAAAGCTCTAGGTCCATCACAATTTCATCACAAGTCAGATTACAAGGCCCTCCTGGCGGGCAATTGGCCCCCCCCTATGCAAAAACCATATGAATTTGTGTTTTTCTTGTGGTGTACCCCCCTGGCTGGTACTGTATCCCCCCCCCCCCCAAATGCCCGGAGCAGACAATGGTCTGTAGTAGGCAAGCATTTAAAGCTGTGATGGATGGCATAAAATATGAGAAAAATGCAGAGCCAGCAGTGCTGGGTTGACACGATTATGTCAACTGTACTCAGACAGGAATAGTGACCATTATGCCATTTGATAAAGAATTAGATTTTATTTTAAGGCAAAAGTAAGCCCTAGTGTCTAGTTTGCAACTCATGACATGGTTGCTTGAACCAAATGCTTGCCTACTGCGATGGTGGCAGGTCACAGGCCAACCGAAAGGTCACGTGTTACTCTGACGTCATACGATCGGACCCTATAAGCTAACCTTTAATGACAAGATTGAGCTCAGGGTCATCACTTTTGACGTTCTCCTTTGGCCGAGCAAACCGCTCTGCTGCCCTCTGGGCTCGCAGCGTCTTCCAGTGTAGCAGGCTGTTGGCCTGCTTGCGTTCCTTGTACGCCCGTTGGTGTTCTGCTGCCCTCTCTTCGATGATCACAGACTCTGATTCAAGTTTCTCAGATCTTGCAGTCTCCTCTCGCCACCTCACAACTTCTTTGGCTCTTTTCTGCCAAAACAAGCCCCCCAAAACAACATTTGTTTTAGAACAAAAAATATATTTCTGCAAAGGAGGAACAGTTTTTACAGTCAGCAGCTGGTGCAATAAAAATAACAAGGCCAAAAACTTCACATTGTGGGGGTGTATATACTCTTCATCATGTTCCATCAGCATAACGCGGCAGTTACAACCCAGCCCTGAAGGACAGACAGTCCGAAAATGTGGCTTCACTTATCATTGGTGAACACTGTTATTTCCTTTTTATATGCTTTACTATTGTAACTTTATGAAGTGTAGGGGTGTGTACGGGCAGTACGGGAACCACGTACCCGACTGAAAAAAAACATGTGTACCCGTGTACCCGTTAAAGAAATCCAACCCCAAAATTCAAATCTCGGAAGTTGCTGTTTAGATTGTTCATGAAGGTCTGCAAGATAATACTACTACATGTAATCGGTACATCAATACAGCAAGATACAAGTGTGTACAGTGAGCACAGCTTTAGGGTGTGAACCGCAACTTTCGTAAGCGTCATAAACGTGAACATGTTTTGTTTTCCAATATGCAGCTTGGTTTTCATCTTGAAAATTCCCAACAAATGACATTCAGAACCTTTCTCTTTCATTGTCTAAGAAGTTACTGGGTAATTTGTAAAGTACATGTATGTTACGGGTTTCTGATCTCATAATCTGGAACCGGTTCCTAACGTCAATGGTCGGGTACTCGGGGACCCAGTTCCAATGCACGGCCCTAATAAAGTGTATTTTAATTACCATAATGAAGCTCAATTTTTGAATTATTTTAATTCAGTCATCAATTTGCAGGTTTAGGTGTGTAGGTTTGCCCCCACCCCATCGAAAAAAAATGTCATGTGTTGCAATGATGATTAAATCAAGGGCATGATAAAATTGTGATTGTAACAAAGAGAAAGTTTGACTTAACCCTAACCCACTGAGGTGATTTACTAGGAACCTTCCTCACTCTTGCAAAATCCAACACCATAACCCCCAACTGCTAGACTCTGACTATGGTGGGTATGCCTGACCCCATGTAAAGCATAATCAGCTTACTAGTGCACTACTCACGCCAACAGATGCCAACAAAACATGCAGTTTGATTTTGAACGGCTGGGGTGGTTCGGGTTTAAACAAAGAAAGTTTCCGCAGATACATATTTGTGTACTGGTAAGCAGTGCTATGAATTGGTTAGTCCTGGGTGGTCTCTACCACCAAATTTTAATTTAAAGGCACCTATATGTCTAGTGGTGGCCATGTGTGTTGTGCCCTTGAGTTAGGCGCTTTACCTCAATTACTACTCTCAACCCAGGTGTTAAATGGGTACCGGCATTGTTCAATGCTGGGAAGGTAACAGGCTCGCTGTGGAGGAGGTGTGGCGATCCCCCCACAGCAGCATTTCATAGATTCGAGTCTGGCCCAATTGCTTCGATAGAGAGATGGGCACTCCATTCCTGTGAACACAGGTTCGTCCCTTTACTTTTTTTCACTACCAAATTTTAGAATAGAACTGAACCGAGCAGGTTGTAGCTGAAAAGTCACCTAAGCCTAATGTACCTCAGATTGCACCTCCAGTATCAGCTCCCCTGCGTTGGGCAGTTTCCTCCATCCAATCACCTCTACAGGAATCCCAGGCTCTGCCTTCTGCACCTGTTGTCCCTTGTCGTTGAACATGGCCCGCACCCTGCACTGGGCAGTGCCGCAGACGAGGATACTGCCTCGCTTTAATGTGCCACGCTGAATGATGGCTGTTGCTATGGGACTGGTGGTTAACAAAAGGGGTATTATTAAAGGTAGTTTATAATATAGGTTTTCCCGGCTATTTTGAAACATTTTTAGTTCGAATTCAACGATTACTTTATTCCAATTCGTCCAGCAACATCCATTTTCGTGCACTTCCAATGTTTAATTTCGTCTTTTGTCAGACAATTTCAAATTCAGTTCAAGCAAATTCAAACAATGAGCACACGTTTTTCGTCCCGGAGTATTCGATTTCGTTTCGACTACACCAAACCTTGTTATTCAGAAATCAAATTCGTCTAATTGATTTATATGAGACAAATTCGATCTCTGAATGCTGCCATTCGGCAACAGCTTAGACGAATTTGATGTGTAATGATGAATATTCTCGACCCGGGGACTAAAGACGGTGAACAAACTATAAAATTGAATGGTAAATGACTAAATTGATTCTGTTAAAAGCATGTGAAATTTTTCGTGGACGAAATTGAATAATAGAGTTGGCGAATTTGAATAAAAAATCTTTTAAAATAGCCGGGAAAACCTATATTTGCATATGGGGAATTCCATTATTATGTAATGTCAGTGACCGAGCTTTTAAGAGCTCAGTGAATGAACCTGAAAACATATTTTTCAACTCTTTTACATCTATTATCTAGTAATGGTCTTGGAATTTTGGATTATTACTTTGAATCATTAATTAGGTATCATGGTTCTGTCATGGACATTACACTTCCTATCAAAATGCTGGAATTGCCCACGTTCTTTTTAAGAAATGGATTTTGAGTCCCATAACTTACTTAAGATATCATTCCGCTGACATGTTTAATGTTTTGTATCCAATTGATGCCAGACCAAAAAAAAATTATGTTTGTTTTCAACAGTCAAAGTCCAGCTAACTGCAATGTTCTGGCAAAAAAATCCACAGAGTCAATAGTGACAGGCCATACCTGTGACCTCCATATTACAGTTATTTTGACAAACGTCACCATTACCAACTCGCTGTTTTTGATGCGGAGATTGTTGAAAAAAAGTAAAACCAGTTCTGGAGAAAGCTCAGTCTTTAATGTGGTATTAAATGCTTACAATTTTATCAAGTTTTTACAGATCCCATTACACATCACATGGCAGTCTCTGAAAAAATCCCACACATTATATTACACCCCACACCGATTGTCATTTACAGTAAGCAAGAAACAAAGTAGCTTTCAGGAAATTAACCTGATAAAATAACCAACTTTGCCCTTGCAGGTACCCACTTGCTCTTAGAATGAGAGCAATGATTGCAACAAAGTGTCTTGCTTAAGGACACCAGCTGTAGCATTCAAACCTGCATTTCAGCATTCCCCAAGAAAGCTGAGAACTAGCCCAGGTTGGACTCCGTGGTGTACACGACGGAGTCCAGGGTATGAACGTCTGCTGCCATAGCAAACAAAATTATAATACATTTTAAAAATATTTTTATCTGATGGAGGAAGCTGAAGTTTCGTTTACATATTCCTTGTGTCAAGAATTATGCATACGCTGGGTTTAGAAAAGGCAAATATGTCCGTGGGCGGCGTGTTTACCGAAAATAAACCGCAATTCCACACTTTCGCTGAAAACATTTTCAGTACGAACTCCACTTACGCGTGCACGTGTAAGTCACAAGGGGAGTTCATACTGAAAAATGTTTTCAGCGAAAGCGGGGTATTGCGGATTATTTTCGGTAAACATGCCACCCGCAGATATGTTTGCCTTTTCTAAACCCAGCGCATGCACAATTCTGGACACAAGGAATATGTAAGCGAAATTTCAGCTTCCACCATCAGGTAAAAATATGAAAAAAATAATTTTAAGTTATAATTTTTTTGATATGGTAGTAGAATTAATACCCTGGACGTCAGTCGTAATGCAATGAAGATGTTGTCCAACCTGGGCTAGCTGAGAGCAGTCAAAAGTACAGGCAGGTGGGATTATTTTTTTTTCATTTATTTCCATCTGTCACAACCGATAAGTGGTTTGGCAGCCTCCAAGAATACTTACCCTTTTCCCTTGTCGACCCGCGACTCAATGACCGTGGCTTCTACGGGCCCTGTTGGATCCCCACCCAATTCCATCAGCTCGGCCAAGACCACAACACTTTCACTCAAGGCTTCCAAGTTGGTACCCTACGATACAAACAATAACATCTCTCAGAATTGGACTGAATTTACACTTACATTATTAAACAGCCATGTCAGATGAATCCAGGCACCTAATCACTGTAAACTCAAGAGGCCCCCTTCAATGGAGAAACCACGGCGCAGGCTACTGCACAAGGCAACTGCCCTGTGACTGATTACCTGAACAATAGCTAGCACAATGCTTTCACCATTGAAGGGGGCCTCCATCATAGAATGGATATCGTGCCCAGATTGGTCTATACACACCAAAACATTTTTATGAGGCAAAGGGCATAGTTACTGCAGACTCCAGATCTCATCCATAAGTAAAATGTCACCAATGACGGATATCACAATAATATTCTCAGAGAAGGTTAAGCTCATGTTCACTTTTTTTTATTTTTAATTTTTTTTGGAGGTGGGGGGGAGGGGAGTAATATTTTCCAAATTAAACCCCTTAATGAAAACTTCCTACAGAGGGTGTAAGTAAATGCAGTAACTGCTCAGATAACACAATTTGAGCAAACACATGTACTTAAGAATACAGGGCGAGTCAAAAAAGTGAAAACCTAATGTTCGGACCATTGTTTTAGTGAAGTTCTTCATGTAGCACATTCAAAATCTAGGATAGGAAAGCCCAATTCATAAGCTTTCTTTTAGTACAAGAATCATTCAGATCACTCATGTACATTTTAAGTTACGGAACTTTAAAAACAACCACCATTTTAAAGTTCAGTCCATGGATCACAAAAAGGTGTGGGTTCTTTCAGCAAAACGAAAACAATTCTCACACATCCCGTTGTGATTTGGTTTTGTTTTACTGAAAGAGCACTTTCTTGTGATCCATAGACAGAACTTTAAAACGGTGGTTGTGTTTAAAGTTCCGTAACTTGAAAAGTACATGAGTGATTTGAATGATTCTTGTACTGAAAGAAAGCTAATGGATTGTTTTCCCGACATATGGGTTCTGCTTTTTTTGACTGTACATTTCATATTACACTGCAGTTGCTCATACAAAGATGGAAACCTAAAGTCACTGTACCACCGAACCCCCCCCCCCCCCCCCCCCCCCCCCCGGAGCACTCAAATGGTTTTACGAAAATATAGAACACGTTGATAATGTGTCAATGGTAATGGGAGTCAGGTTGGCAGAGTGGTTCCTTCCTCGCCATCCTTCTCTACAGCCCGGGTTCGACTCCCAGAATATCGTTCTGGGGTTTTCCTCCCACCTCTAAAAATTAATTCTTTCTTCACTGTCTCCTCTCTACAGGTTTCTTCAGGCTTATGAGCTACAGTGCCTAGGCCGCTTTTGAGAAATCCTTGGTTTCAGTGCCAGAAATTAATAACGATAATAATGAGTTAGTAAAGATCTAATGTCCGATCATAATTTTATCCTCAGCACTAGGGATTGGGCTAGGATCATTCCGACACTTCCACTGTTATGCGTGAACCCAATGGTACCTTCTTTGTATTTTTACTTTCAATATATATTTATTTTTCAATAATGAGTTTGTTTTGCGATAATTCACCTTGAGTGCTGATATTTCCACAGCCTGTACATCGCCACCAAACTCCTCCAGTTGAATGCCATGGCCTAGAAGATCTCGCTTGGTAAAGTCCTGGAAAAAACCCCACGGGAAATTGATTTTTAAATATTTCTAAAAATTAGCTTTTCAATTTCAGGCAAAAACAAGATTGTCATAAATTCAAATACTCACAGTATGTGTGCTAAAGCAAATGCTATTGTACGCATGCTTTGCGGTCAAGGCTCAAATTGGAAACCTGTTGTGATCGTTTTCCTGAAAATGTCTTAAGTTAGAGAGTTTATCAATTTAAATAAAATATTAAGATGCATGGGATTGGACTCACGGGATCAGCGCCTGGTTTATCACACTTGTTGACGGCAACGATGATGGGAACTGTGGAGAAACACAAGAAAACATTACTGATAGATGAGACGGATAGGGTGTCACTTTGTTACTTTTCATGCCACAACTGACATCATCAAGTCCTCAGTCCTGAGTCTGTATTGAGTCACAATTTTGGTTACTCAGCAAAAGACTTGGACTTAGACTCGGACTCAACCATCATGACTCGGACTTGACGCTAATGACTTGTGACTCGCAAGTCACATATTTTTTTAAAACAAATTTACCTTTTAAAAAACAAAATTCTGACGTTTATTTTCCAAAAATACATTACAGCAACGCTAAAGAATGTTAAGCACATGTACCGTATCGCACCACTCTCCAGATGGTGCTGCAAATAATGTTTGTTATTAAAAGTGCCCACCCTATTTCCCATGACAGTGCATCACTTACATATCGCTTACATGTACAATATGTGTGTCCATCATCCGTTTTGTACAATGCATAGGTCAGCATGCACATGTATGTACATCAGCAATTGACTTGTAAGTCAGACTCGGATTTGAAACAAATGACTCAATACTCGGACTTGGACTTGACCTAGGTGACTCGAGACTTGGAGTCGGACTCAAAAACTCGATAACTGTCAAGCTTGAAGACTCATCCTTGCACCAATTTAAAACTGGCTTTGCTGAGTCATACTGAACCAAATTGTATGTAACAGCAGTGTCTCAGAATGACCCAAATAGATTTGGGTTTCAGAAAGGCAAAATTTGTGTATTATATTCAATTGGCTAGACTCTGGAGTTGTTCCAAATGACTGCACAATGCAATCTTTCAAAATAGTAACTATTAACATTTTCAAACGTCAAACTGTCCATGTGCTTGATTCAATCTTTAGAATAATTCGGTTTTGAGTTACTCTGGAACAGCAGTCCGAATGAAACAAATGCTGGTATCACTTTTTTTTCATTTTTACCTCCAGCATTCTGAGCATACTTGATGGACTCCCTAGTTTGCTCCATGACGCTGTCGTCTGCTGCAACCACCAAGATGACAATGTCGGTCACGTTAGCGCCCCTCTCTCTCATAGATGAGAACGCTGCATGGCCTGGGGTGTCCAGGAAGGTAATCTGTTGACCAGTTGGAAGGGGAACTGCAGGGTGTAAAAATACGTAAAGATGCAATCATAAAGTAATCATGGTCTGCTAGTATATCTAGCTTATGTTTTCCTATCAGGCTGTATAAAGGTACACAGGATCATTTTTCTTTTTTGTGCATTTTTTTCATTTGAAGCAACAAAATTGCTCAAAATCTTAAAGGTAGCGTCCATCATTTGTAATTGTGCATTATGTTCTTTTGAAGCAACAAAAGTGCTCAAAATCTAAAGAAGACTGCTTAACAACTAACCTGATGAAATTTCAGCTCAGTGAATGTTGTGTATTCCGTGAAAACAATATCCTAGGATCATGATTTCAAATCAAAAGTTGCTGAGTCATGTTTTGAAATGAGCCTGAATTCAGCGTCCGAGACATGTTCTCACTCAGCCGAGTGCAGCTACGCGAAGTCGCGCACTGAACCGACGAATTATAGCAAAAAAGTTTTGGTCTAGTCAATTTTGGTCAATTTTAGTGAACAGTGAACTGAACCTCTCATCTCTGGGTTTGAGAAGAGGATGTTTCGGTCAGTATGTTCTGAACATCATAAGGAAAAGGCCTATTTATCGAGAAAGGAATCCTTAAATACACAAGGGAGAAATCCAGTGTGGATCACCAAAGTGTGAAAACGTACAAAAACAAGCACTTACCTAGGAAAGCACCGATGTGCTGCGTGATACCGCCGGCCTCCCCAGCAGCCACAGAGGTCTTGCGAAGCGAGTCCAGTAGCGTAGTCTTCCCATGATCCACATGACCCATTACCGTGACGACAGGAGGGCGTGGCTTCAGCTGGGAAGGTTTAGGGGGCGGCCTGTAAAAAAAAAGAGTTACACTTTAGGTTTTATAATGTTTAGTTCGTTGGCTCTCCAGCTCATAGAAGGAATGGCAGAGGGAACAAGAAGGAGGGGTCGTCAAAAGAAACAATGGTTTGACAACATCAAAGAATGGACAGGAATGAGCTCTGTACAAGCCAAGCGTCTTGCTCTGGACAGAGCAGCTTGAGGCAGGAGATCAAGCTAGAGATGCGCGACAGTGGTAGCCAATCATCATGTGTGACGGCGAACTGAAGCAAGCAAGCAAGCAAGCAAGCAAGCAATGTTTAGGTCCACTACTTCACCAAAACATCCAATAAATTGAACCTTCCAATACTTTGATGACTGTTCTGGGGTGCCAAGATTTGAAGCTTTGCAAGGTGAAGTTAGTGCCAATTGTGGGTTTGAGTGGTTCTGAAAAAAATCAGGGGAACTTAACATTTTGAACAACGTGCTCTGCTTATTGACAGAAACAATCTCCATGTACAATTTAACACTTTTCTGGCTCAATCATACAAAAGGCCACAATGACAGTGGCAAGTCAATCACGAATCTAATCACAAGTCACGTCACAAGTAATAGGCAAAGAGCAATGAAAAAGGAATGGCTATCTATCACAATAATGTACCCTTCCAGCTTGCCAATCAAACAGTGCTCATTGACAAATTATCTTCATCAGGTGACCACAGACGCTCAGACAAACTCAGTCACAAACACTGTGACCAATGTACACAAACCAAATTTGGGCAGGGCTTATGACATAGTGCTGAATGGTCTACTCATATTGATAGCTTGGGACTTGACTTGAGACTGGATTTACGATCCAACTTGATAATCTGATTTTAAGTGGAGCAATCTTCTTTTGAGGAAATGACTACAGTATAAACTTTCAGACAAGCAACCGATTTTTACCTTCTTACAGCATCTTTGTTCTCTTTGGCATCCTCCTTGTGCAGGGAGGCAAAGCGGTACGTCATGCCCAACAACTTAAGAACTTCTTTGATTGTCTCCAATCTTAGAACTGCAAATGTAAGAAATGAAACTGTGTATTGCACATAGAGTGAACGATTGTCGGTGTTGAAAATACCAATTCTCTGTTTCTTTTCATTAGAACTGTGCGCAAAAAGTCCGCATTTCATCATACACGTAGGTAACACCACAAAATGTACTTGAATGTGCTAGTGCTGTGCATCGGAACCGGGTACCCGCGTACCCGACCGCTGATGTCAGGAACCGGTTCCAGATTATGGAATCGAGTACCTGCAACCAACTTTGCAAATAAATTAGTTACTTCTCAGTCAATGAAAACGAAATGTTTCAAATGTCAGTGGGAACATTTCAAAATAAAAACAGGATACACGGAAAACCAAAACCAATTTCACGTTTTATGATGCTTGCGAAAGTTGCAGTTTTCACCACATACATGTAGCTAAAGAGCTCACTGTATACACCCTATCTAGCTGTATTGCCGCACCGATGTGGTAGTATTATCATGCGGACCTTTATGAACAATCTGAACAGCAACTTCCCAGATTTGAATTTTTGGCTTGAGTTTCTTTAACAGGTACTCGTATTTTTCGCAATTGGTACCCGGTTCCTGTACTACCTGTACACCCCTAGAAGGTGCAATGTGGTTGTCTGTTGGCAACGGAGCAAAAGAGGCAATAAAAATAATGGGCAACACGATAAAGTTATGAACTTGAATGCTGTCAGTAAGGTTGCAACTTCAGCCAGAGTTGTAATGACTCGAGTCAATGACTCGACTCGAGGAGTCACAATTTTTGGTGACTCGACTCGACTCGAGTCCCTAAGGGTAAATGACTTGACTCGACTCGAGTCACTGTGAGCAAATGACTCGACTCGACTCGAGCGAAGCCTAATAAGACTCGAGTCCCAAAAATAAAAGCGCAACTTTGCGAAAAGTATTTGCAATGACTTATAGTGCCAATTTATGCTCACTTTACTTTGCGAATAGCAATCATGTACAAATATGCAACGTGTCACAGACTCCCACCTCATGGTTCTAGAACCCACAAAATACTATCCAGGAACCAGATTTTTAAACACATTTTCTAATTCACTGTTTCATCATTGGTTTTGGGCGATTTCTTATAAAGCTCTTGGATTCGAACGCTGGCTAAACTTATGGCCTCCTTTTATAAATTTTGGTATATAGTGTTCAAATAATCGTGACTCGAATTGACTCGAGCTAAATATTTGACTCGACTCGACTCGACCTGTTGGCCTAATGACTTGAATCGACTCGAGTCACTTCTTTAAAATGACTCGACTCGACTCGAGTCACAAAAATCAGTGACTCGTTACAACTCTGACTTCAGCTTTTCATTAATTGCTAGTATCCCTTCAATCATGGATGACTGAGCATTGCTGAATGTACAACAGCTCAAAAAACCCAAACAAACAAAAGGAAGGATGTTATTTGCAAAAACTAGGATGGGGGCGGCACCATAAGTTTTTTTTCTAAAACAAAGATTTAGGATTGGTATGATTTCGCAGGTTGGGTAATAGGAAACACAGGTATTTTTGTCTTGGCCTGAAATATCTACGGAAAGCTTATAAAACCATCCTTTCTGATCTAATTAAGTTCATCACTTTTACATACTAACTCACTATTTTCTCACATTCTGATTACATTTTCGGAGGGAAAAGTTCAAAATTTACCCTTTGTAGGTTTCAAATCTTCAATGTTTGTTTTCATCATCAGACATTCATAAACACCGTCTATGAAGAAACAAGGACAAAAATAAATGAAAGATATAAAGATTGACAGAGTAATCTGCAAGAAAAAAGGAAAAATACACTCTTTACAATCAAAATGCCAATATTGATACATGTATGACTAGTTGCAGATCAATGTCACAAACCCTTGTACAGGGACTGTCTTACGAAATCCTCAGAAGGCCTAAAGACTGTTTCTTTTGAGTGATGTACTGGGCCAACTTAAAGAAAAAAAATCATCTTATCACATTACTAATTTGTGATAATTGGGCATCACAGACGCACCTTTTGATCGTCATGTTCTGAATATTTGAAATGGTGCAACTGAAATATACGATTAGGCCTATACAATAGAAATCTTTGAATAAAGTGTTCACGAGCAATGTAAATCAAATGACATTTTTGCAAATAAAGTTTTTCTTTCCAAAACAAATGTTTTCTGTACTTAAATTTGTATGCTTAACAATTTCATCAGTTTGGGCCACAGGTAGTCTGCAGACCATTGCAGTACAAAAAAAAATACTAATTTTTAAATTTCGTTTTGGAAAGAGTTCCATACCTGGACATCACTTGACACCCTGTGCACAAACCCTATGAGACTGGTCTGAAAAATTCCAAGTGTTTTCTCAGTAAATACTTTAATATTTTCCCTGCTAAATTAGACTTTTAGGACATGTTATCGCTTTCTGATGGCTGATAGATAGGGAAAAATTTGTGATGTCCATGTATAGAATTCTTCCCTTAGTTTTTAACACTAGTGCGTAATTCCCTCACCTAGATCCATATCCATGGCAACTGCAAGCTCCATAATGGACATTCTCTCCTTGATTTCAATGACTTTCTTCTCTTTCTTCTCCTTTTTGCGCTTTTCAATCTTCTCCAGCCTACGCTCCAGCTTTTTCTGGGGCGTTTCCCTGGTGTACCATCGCACCGGTTGATTCAGACTACTACCTTGACAGTCAAGGGCAGAAAGGGGTGCAATGTTCCAAGGACGACGGTACGGCAAATGTGGCTTTATACTGAATCTCTCTGCAACTGTAGAGCAGTTCTTGGCAGGTCGTAATTGGAGATTATGTCTGAGGATTTGTGCCGACTGCAAACACTGACGGGAAGCTGAACGTGAAGTTCTTGACCACATTGTACAAACTGCGATTTGCCTTATCAAAAGCAGATGCCTCTTTTGCAATCCTGCATCCATCTTTGCTGTAAAATTTACATAAGAGAAACCTGCCAACGAAAGAAAACAAAAGGAATTAACAAAAAGCTTCAAAATAGTTATAAAACTTTTGGACATAACCGTGATTAAAAACCCTTGCATAAAAGTTGTAAACTTTTTCAATTTCTAAACCTTGTAATTTTTTTAATTTTTAATCCTTGTATTTGTAAACAGTATGAAAGTACTGAAATAAACAACACATTGAACACGGCATCCCAAAGAGAATTCTAGTACTAAAGCATAGTTTTGTCGATAACATGAATTTTAATTTAAGTAGTGCTAATTTCAGGGAATTTTAATTTTTAATGCATTTTTAACAGCCACAGTTATATGGGATTGCAACATAACATTGCGAATTTTTTTACTTCCTAACATGACAGAAGCATTTTGCAGGCTCAGTCTGATAAATGTGTGCATAAAGTGATGAAAGTACGGGGATCGAATCTCGACAAGAAATCAGGTAAGAAAGTCACATTTTCTCCACAAAAACTGTTCATATTAAAAAACATTGCGTCATTTATTGATTTAAAAGAAGATTGCCCAAGGTTGGCGATGGAATTTTTGAGCGACAAAATCTTTTTCAAGAATTAATAAAGTGAGCTGTCCTAAACCTCACAATCCCCACGATATCATCCTACACATAAGGCGAAGTAAAAAAAAAAAAGTTTCTCGTCCGGGGTTTTTGAAAAAAAGGGAGGAAGCGGGGCCTTTTATTTTTAATTTTTTTCAAGATGGCCGCCATTTTAAAATTTCCTGCAAACGTTGGTTGTGTCAACTGTTCAAAGAGACTTTTCAAATGAAAGACAAGTTGGACAAGAGAACTGAACATATTTACAGTGTCGGAAAAAAAATAGGTACTGGGCCACAACTTTTTTTCAATTAATTTTCAAGCGCCAAAAGTTGTATCCTTTGACTTACTTCATCGAGATTCGAACCTCGAACTCTTACTTGAAACACGAGACTCTTAACCCCTAGGCCGCGCACGATCGCTGTTGCAATAATCAATCTTTGGACGTATTTGAAGTAGCCATTGAAATAAACTAAATATTCATAATGACGTATTGCACTATCATTGGCCGGCTCATGCGACGTCATGGTTGTCGATGTCATGCGTCATGCGTCATGCGTACCGCTGTCTGTCAGCCACACTTCAATCAGTTTTGACCGGCTGCTTCAACTTAGTTCCGCACGACGTGTGCATCCAAAATGGGCTCTAAAAACACATTTTGCCTAATTTTTTTTTCGCATTAACACAGCTTCCTGGATTCCTCTTGGGTGAAATCACAAGGTGAGGTGAAAATTGATGTGTTTAGCGGCAGGTAAAGTCGTGGCCCAGTATGGAATTTTTCCCACAGTGTCAATTAGAGTTGTATTTGTATTGGTATTTATTTTTCGATGAATTTGTGGACTTTTTCGGTGTTGTTTTACTACATTTATCAAAAATAAAAAATAATTAAAAAAATCCCGGCGGCCTCCAAAAAGGAAGCGGGCGGGGACGAGAAACTTGTTTTTTTTTTTACTTCGCCTAATACTATATTGTTGATGTACCCTAACGTGGCGCAGCCCCTAACGTGGCGCACTTTGATATTTCGCCTGTAGCGCCTAGCTAGAGCAAATGTTTTAACTGAAATTTCAAAGAAAGTGAAATTTCATCAAGTTCTAAACACTCCCGTTCATAAATCGCGAGTTTATTTACCCGTTACAAAGTTAAAAGAAAAAATAATTTTGGCGTGATTTTCTGATTTTATTTTCAAGTGCAAAGTGAACCCTTTAAAAATGCCCCGAAAAATAAGAAAATAATTTTCTGACAAACATCTGGCAGGGTTTGTAAATAAAGATAATAATGATTTATCAGAATTTATCAAGTTTACAGAAATTCTTAAATGTTACTATTTGGAATTTCCCGAGATTTATTCAAGTGCGCCACGTTAGGGAACACTCCGCCAATTTGTGCCCAATTTCCGGACGCGACCGTTTTTGCATTTCGGATTAAATTTTATGAAACCGAAATTGTTCACAGAGGTTAAATAGCAAGCATTAAAAAGGTAGAATTACTAGTATTTTACTGCATGAATTTCAGGTTTGTCAACAAAGAGGTTTGGCAACACTACACGAGGAAAGTTGGGTAAGCTTCGAAGTGCGCCACGTTAGGGAACACGACTATAGGCCTATGTACATGTACGTCGCCTCAACATCATCACGCGTGCTGCTGTACGTGCGGCCGGTGCGCGTGCGGCCGCGGGCCGATGGTGATGCCGTTTCACATTTTCGGAGTAGAAAGAAAATATGTCTCTCAAATTCTACTTAAGAGTTCCTCTAAATAATGTCTTTAAGATCTGTGAAAAGGTCCTGACTATTTAGACAATATCAAAGACTGTAATTGCATAATATGCATTAAAAATTCTCACCGTGTAGGCCGCGCCTGATTTGTTTTCTAAATCATGGAGGCCGCCATGTTCGTTTCCCACAAGTCCCATCCGGTAGGAACGCCCCCAGCGTCTGGTAGGTAACCGCGTGTGAGGGGAATCGGGTGTATTTGTGAGTAATCCAGTAGAAATTTTCTGAACCTAGAAATCTTCTTTCCTATGAACTTTTTTTGTTGATTTGCATTCCCATGGGGTCCTTGAACAAATTCAGCTTGGTTGCCCAAATGCATTAAATGGTACGTTTGGGCAACTCTGCTAATTTGCATAAATTCAAAATGGCCGCCGGACGCCATCTTGGAAATTTATCTTTTGAACCACTTGTCCTAGAATGATGTATAATATATCCATTAAGGGGTTTTGTGATGTGTAGAATCCATTTCTGGGGTTATTTTTTTAATTCAAGGTCAAGTTCAGGTGATAATGGCCAGTTCAAGGTCGAATTTGACCTCTTGGTGGACAATGAAAAAAAATCAACTAAAACTTACACTTTAATAGTTAATGATGCCAAAAATAGATAATCAAACAATATCAGCCCCAATTACCCGTAAAAAATGGTGAGAACTCAAATTTGTGTTATTTTTTTCCATTTCAAGGTCAAGGTCAAGGCTAACTGTCACATTTGTTTTAGATGTTTTGGCACATAAAGGACTCTATACATTGGAGTAAATCTTTGCCGGTGAGTGGGGGAAATTCGACAGGCAGGCTGGAGGGGGGGGGGGGGGGGGGGGGGCTGGACACCACATTACACTAGGGGGCGCCCTTCAAAATATAGATGTAACAATATATTAACATGTATACTCACGCTTACGGTACATCAAAACTGCGCATTTTTAAAGCTTTTTTTGCTTTTAGTTAAGAAAGATCACAACGGAGGCACGTGGTATTCCAGTCAACAACAAAAACTATGATCTTGGTGATTTCACTCATGCCAAGACAAAACAACAAACTAGTACTACACTGCTTAGGTTTATCTCCAAGCTAATATCAAACGGTGAAGTCACAAAAACATCACTGAGTCTTTCGCAATCCATACAATATCTAATTACCAAAACACGTAACCAAACAACACTTGGGTTGGGTGTCAAACTACACCACAAGTTTGGTAGCAGATATCTCATTGACATCTTAAATGAACATGGATACACTGTGTCTTATGATGAGGTGCTGCGGTTCCGCAAGTCGGCGGCCAAGTATGTAAGTGACAATTCTGCAACGTTGCATGGAATGATGGGGCTTAGTCGGACAGTCGGACTCGTATTTGGCTGGTATGACAACTTCGACTTACTGGTGTCAACTCCAAATGGTCGACGTGAGACACACCCCTTACAGAAATGTCCCATGAGCGTCCCATGAGCATCCCATGGGATTCCCATGGGGTCCCATGGGATTCCCATGGGACCCCATGGGAAACCCATGGGGTCATCAAGAACACCATGTAAGTTAAAATGATCACCATGGGAGATTTTATGCTCATCATGGGAAACCCATGGGAACACCATGGAGATTGCATGGACAACATGGGAACACCATGGGGATTTTACGAGCTCCATTGGAACACCATGGGAACACCATGGGGATTTTATGAGCTCCATGGGAACACCATGGGGATTTTACGGACACCATGGGAACACCATGGGGATTTTATGGACATCATGGGAACACCATGTGGAATTAATGAACACCATGGGAACCCCATGGGAATTTATGGACACCATGGGAACACCATGGGAACCCCATGGCGATTTTATGGACACCATGGGAACACCATGGGGATTTTATGGACACCATGGGAATACCATGCATTGGGATTGTATGTCACCATGGGAACACCATGGGGATTTACTGGACACCATGGGAACATCATGGGGATTTTAGACACATGGGTACACCATGAGGATTCGGACGCCATGGGAACACCATAATGTGGGTGATATAAATTATGGACACAATGGTAACACCATGGAGATTTAAAAGGCAGCACGGGGACACTGCCGGGTTATTCTGGAGAACATGCATGTGCCATGGAAAACCATCATAGACCCAATTGCACTCCCAAATATAGGAAAACCTTTCTTTGATTAATTACTTATTCGCCTAGCTGTAAATTTGAATTCAATTAAAAATATTTCCCTTGTGGTCATAGAGGTTATCAAGAATTCTATTTGTTACGCTGACCATGGGAAACTCCTGTGGATGTTCACCAATTGAACACAATGGGATAAACACCATGGGACACCATGGGAACACCATGGGACACCATGGGACCACCATGGGACCATCATGGGACATTTTTGTGAGAATCGCTTACAATAACGAGTGTTGTAATTGCACATTTTTGAATTTTTCTGTTGACGCCATGGCAACAGAATTTCAGATGCACCCAGCTGGGATTATCGAGACTGGCAGCACTCAGCCTGGTGTCAGTACTCTCATCATTCCTCGCCTCACGACCAAGCAGTCTAAGTCTGTGGGCAATAACAGGGCCATTCCACTTATGCACTATACTGGTCCGAAGAAAGTGAAGCCCCCTGCAGTACCTACTAGCAAGACTGGGATCAGCTAACCAGAAGCCAGGGCGTACTCAAACCTGGGACCACCTATATGTTTGGTTCTCTGATTGATGCACCACCCTCTCACCCAGACACTATCCTCACAACGCTCACTTACATGCAGAGGTCACTGGTTGATATGGGGATGGCATATGTTCATGTTTGCATGGACATGCAGTTGTATGCAGTAACCAAACAGGTGTGCTGGTATCAGCCTATGCAGTTCAAAAATGTCATCACCCATCCTGGTGGGATGCATATTATACAGTCGTTCATTAGCTGCATCGCGAAGCTGATGAAAGGTTCTGCGTTGGAAGTGTATGTTGCCGCAGCATATGGGGGGCTGACCGGTATTTTCAATGGGAAGTCTTGTGGTGTATCAGCAGCACTCTTGAAGCGCTTTCTGTCAACTGGACAAAAGACATTTGAGCAGATAGAGATGTATCTGGAGAGTGCCCGCCTCCATCCCACTGGCAGACACTGGGTGGACAACTTCCTTCTCCCAATGCTCCTAATTCACCAGTTTGAGCGTGCAGAGAGAGAGGGTGACATCTACTTGAAGCATTTGACCATGAAGCGCATGATGAAGTACTTCTTTCTCGCTGGTCATGTGCAGTACGCCCGCTATCTCACGCAGTACCTCCTGGAGATGCGTGCACTCCATGTCGAAGACAAAGTGGACCTTGTCTGTCGGCACCATGATGGATACTGGAACGCTGTCTCTGCTGACCAGTTTGGTGAGCAGACAGCCATCAAGATCGGTAAGGGAGCTCTCAAGGGCATGACCCTTTCGACTGAGCTAGTTTGTGAGTGGATCGACGCCTTCCCTATCACTGTTCACGTCGCAGACCGTGTGGACTTTATCTACTATGACTATACTCCAGGCCAATCGGCGCAGAAGCAGCACAAGGAGGAGTTGAAGCACCGGCGCATCATTGATGCACATGATCGGGGTCTCATTGATGCAGAGGTGGAGAAGTACCTACACCCACTGGAAGATCACCGCCCTCATCTATACAATCCCGTCACTGGCCAACGTGCCTCCGCTGATGTGAATGTGGCGGATTCAATTGTGATTGGAGAAAAGATGGAAAGCAAATACATTGCCAGTCTCCCTGACGGGTTCTACAATGCAATTAGTAGCCCCATCAAGACGATGCATATTCTCAAGAATCAGGGCAAGGGCAACAAGGCCAAGCCAGTAATAGACCTTGAGAACATTTTTCTCCGGCTATTGCTGATTGGTCAGCGGCGGCAGGTGGAGCTTGAGCCTCTGTTTGCCTACGAACTGTGTGCTGTGCCGTCATCGCTCATTGATGGGCATGGTTGTCTCCGTAAAGCCAGTAAGTCTGGTCTGGTCAAACGCCTCGGCGTGCTTGAAGTCTCGCCATCACCTGCTGATATTGTCATCGTGGATGTTTCACAACTGTTCTACCACATTATGTGGCCACATGGTGGCACTGCCTCAGATCTGATTGCGTCCATCCATGGTCGTTTAAATCGCTATCCAGATGGTACTGAGAAAATTGTTGTCTTTGATAAGTACCAAGATGTCTCTGCCAAAGATCACGAGAGAATGCGGCGAGCTGGTGAAGTTATCATCGATTATGAACTATCCATCACAAGTCCTCTGCCCAAAAGAGATGTAATCCTGCATAGCAAGAATAACAACCGGATGCTGGCGAGCATCTTGTGTACCTTCAATCTAGGAGATAAGGCGACAATGGAGACCCAGGACGATGGTGTGTTTGGTCATGATGAGGCGGACGTTACCATGATATCATATGTCCTTCAGGCTGCCAACAGTGACAAGGGTGTGATCTGTGTGCTTAGTGACGACACAGACGTATTTGTTCTGCTGGTCTATTGGGTCTATCGGACGAAAATGCAGTGCAAGGTGCAGATGGAGCGATGGGATGGGACAGTGCTAGATATCAATGCCACCTGCGCCAACCTAGGACCAAAATGTCTGCAGCTGCTAGGCATGCATGCCCTCAGCGGTTGTGACACAACATCATATCCCTATGGCAAAGGCAAGATCGGTGCACTAAAGACCTTGCTCGCTGGGGACTTCCAAGGTTTGGCTGATGTACTGGGTGAGAAAGGAATCGAACGGGCAGATTTGATGGAGGCAGCAGAACCCTTCTTCATTGCTCTGTATGGTCAGCCGCCAGAGACACCTATGGAGTCTGCTCGCTTCTCACTTTTCACCAAGAAGAAGAAAACTCCCAAAGTCATGGCCCTTCCTCCAACATCTGCCAACCTGTTGCAGCACGTGCTGCGGGCTCACCTGCAGGTCATGTTGTGGAAAGCAGCAGGACACCAAGCCCCACCAGACGAGTCAGCTGATATCACTCACTTTGGGTGGGAGATGCGGGATGGCATTCCCGCTCCTGCCATTGCTCAGGGTGATCCAGCTCCACCAGAGTTAATTGATGTGATTCAGTGTCAGTGCAAGGCACAGGGCAAGAAGTGCAGCACCAAGGCTTGTGGTTGTCAAAGAGAGCATCTTTCGTGCACATCATACTGTAACTGCTCTGGAAAAG